TGCGTAGTCCATGCCCCAGATGTATGTCTTGCTATTCAGGTCAGCCTCATTAACCTCCAAAATTTAAAGAAGCAAGCCTACTGATAGGACAGAGATATGTTGAACAGAATAAATTCAGTGTAGTTGTTAAATTTAGATTCTGAACTTTTATAGAAAAATCACTTGGGGGCAGGAGGAGCTAAGTAAAATGAAAATTACCAGAGATATTCTGACTCAGTAGGCTTAAGATGCTTTTCAAACGAACAGTCCAAATGACTCCAAAAATTTAGATGAATATTTAAATGAAGGCATGTCTAGGTAGAAGATTGTATGTGTGAAATTTATAACATGAGCAGGAGGTTAAAGAATCAGGGCAGGCTAACAAAGCTAACTAACAAGCTAATATTGTATGTTGAATTTATTTTATTCATGCAAAAAATATCTAATATGTTCCTACTATATGCAAGCACTGTTCTAACTGCTGGGCATATAATAGTAACAAAATTAAACACAGATTCTACTCTCAAGGATAGAGACAGATGAATTCTACTACTCACATAAATACTGAGAAGAAAAAGATTCATGTTAACAAACTTAAGCTAAGTGTTAAGATAGCAATAAACCAATGACATTTTCAAAGAGTAATGGAAGGGCATTTCATTTTACAAAAAAATTTTATTTTTTACATCATTCTTCATTCAGTGCATTTTTTTCATCTTGATTGTAATCCCTATGGGCTTCCCACCACCAATTCACTCATATGCTATCACTATAGTCCTGAGCACTCTTTCCACTCCACCCCAGTCTTGATCCTACTTCCCTCTTCATTCCTGTAAAATGTCTCTGGTTTATAGTTTTTCATTGTTTTTAATTTTTTCTTTATTCCAATTGTCTTTTTTTTTTTTTCTCCTGGTCTCTTACACTCCTGGTATGAGTGAAACCATGCAGTATTTTTCTTTTTCTTTCTGGCTTATTTCACTACACATGATCTGGAAGGGCATTTCTTTTTTCTTCTTCTTTTTTTTTTTTTAAGATTTTATTTATTCATACAGAACTGGGGTACAGGCCAGAGATGTGGAGGGTGAGAGGATTCACCAGAGACAGAGCAGGGAGCAGAGCAGGCAGATCTACGAAGTACACTGTTGAGGGGAGCAGCGGGCGGGTCAGGAGAGGTCTCCTGTGGATCTCCTCCGGGGCAGGAGGGAATCGACCTCATGCAGAAGTGGCTTAAGCTTCTCAGTGCAGTGCCTTAACCTGCTGCACCACCAGGGAGGGCCAAGGAAGGGCATTTCTATTGGTGGTTGATATAGGGGTTACCATTGATAAGGTAGTGAAACATTGGATGTTAATGATCTTTCTAGAGGAACAACCAACCAAAGTAGGGAAACTCTAAATTGTCAACTTTATAACTCCTAATATATGATCTAATGCAATGCCTGAGAACAGACACTATTCATTTGTGTTCAGAAAGGTATGGTCATTTTCAGCAGAAAGAGAAGGATGCATAATTAAAATTCTTCCCATTTGACTTGCTATTACTCACTACCTGTGCCCATTTTGATTGTAGCATAATCAGACCTTCTGAACCCTAGCTATGTTACGTGTGAGGTGGGAGTAATTTCACACCCCAAATATGTACCATGAACCCTGTTTCAATATACCTACAGGTGACCCCTCTAGATATGTTTTTTATATATGTTGTTACTTTTTGGATACTGGTAAGGGAAATTTCATCATGGAAATTAGTAGTACAATTAATACATGTTTAAAATTGTTTTTGTAGATATTTGAAGTCATAACATAACATATGCTAAGTTCTCTATATAGATTGTTGGCATTTATAACTACTATGCATCCATTTAGAATAAATGACTAAGTAGGAAGTAATATGAAATTTACTCTTATGTAGTTTTCCTGGATAATCCAAATCAGAGGTTCTAAAAGATAAATTTTCCTTGAAATCTTTCTGAGAAATATGATAAGGATCAGTTTGGTTAATAATTACATGAAAGGAATAATGTAAGTAGGTATTTAAAATTAATTCGAAACTCATTTTGGAGTAAAATTTGTGCATCAATATATGCAATATTAGTGGTAAACATTTGTGATCAATTGTACTATTTACGTTTTTCAGCTATACAATTACCAAAATGTTCTAAGTAAAGCTGATAAATTTCATTAAACTAGGGTAAAAATAAACTACATTATATATACACTGGTACTTTAAGATGAAACTATTTTTCAGAGTAATTTTAACAGATATTCTAAAGCAAAACCTCAGTGGTCAAATTAGTTTGGAAAACACTGATTTAAAAAATATACATTGAACACTACTGATACACTATGAAAATAACAAAAACTCACATTTATTGACCTCTTTCTGTGTGCCAAGCATGTACCTATCCATGTGCCAAGCACAGAGCTGAATATTTCAATTGGATTTTCTCACTTACTCTAAACTTTCTATAAAAATTATGATTAATTATAGCAATGAATGTCTCAATTAGCATAATTGCAAAGAAAGAAAAATATATGCAGAGATACAATAGGAAAATCTTTTGTATTAGTCACTAGTCATAATCAAAGCAATATATGTGAGATCCTGACCCCCCAAAATAAATAGAAGGAAAAAGATATCAATAAGAGTATAATCTTTTACTGAATTAATATCAAAAAATTTTTTACAGAAACAATTACCTAGTTTTCTGTGTATTCACAGTAAAGGGGTTCATTTTATTTTAAAATGACTCTCCATGCAGTTTTAGGTCATGTAGACGCAAATTAAACATATCTCAATTGAAAAACAATTTCCAGGGCAAATAGTATTAGAATTTCCTCGTGACTACATTGGAAACAGATGGCAGTTTTAAAAGATTCAATTAAAATACTTAGTAATTATTCTAATACTCTGTAGTAAAATGATCTTTTATTCATTGAATGAGAATTACAAAATTAGTGGTATGAATTTGGCACAAGATCATTTAACTAAACAGAAGAACTTTCATTACAAATAATTGTATGTACAATCTTATGCAAAGAAAATGTAAAAAGATGATTATTTTAGACAAATAGAATTACCTAATGTTATTGAGTATTTTTGCATGCGGGTGGTTGCAAAAGAGTTCACTGGTCACTTTTGTTCATATAATCACCAGAATAATTTCTAACAAATTAAGAAAAATAATTCATAGCCTAAGCAAGAGTGTGGAGCATAAACACATTTGTGAGAATCAGAATAGCAGGGATGCTATCACTCAGTCGGTCATTTGGCACTTACATAAATGTTTGACAGATTATTTATGAAACTACAAGGTTAATAGAGCTGGTTGAGTATTGAATTCCAAAATCTAGTATGGCAGAGCTGGAAGGTATTATCAACATTTTCTAGTTCAGTCCTTTTCATTACAGTTGAGCAAGACAGGTGTCAGGGATTGATTTACCAATGCCCTCCAGAAAATTATTAGTAGTAGAACCATTCTGTAAAGAAGCTAAATATCTCAGCCATTCATTCATTCATACATGCATACAAACATCCAACCTTAATTTCATGTTTTATTCATTTAACAATCATTTATTAAATGCTCATTCTATGCTAGACACTGAGAGTATGATACTCAGCAAAATCAGATACGGTACCTGACCTAGTGATTGTTTTGAGAATACAGTGGAAATTGAGGAACATTAATAAAGTAATCACTTGAATACACCCATGATGACAAACCACAACAAATGCATTAGAAAACAAGTGGTAATATATAGCAAGGGAACCAAATACAAAGAGGAGGTGAGAAGGCTCCTTGTGTTGTGCACTAGAGAATGAACAGAAGTAATGAGGCGAAGGGAAAACATAGAAAGAGGTGTAGAGGTCCTGGAAACAGAAATGAGCTTCCAAAGAAAAGACTCCAGAATGTTTGGGATCCAGAAAGTAATGAGAAAGGAGCAAGAAGAGACTTGAGATACAGGCTGCCCCAGATCAACTAGAGCCTATAGACCAGGTTTTCATTTTTTATCTCTATCCTAAGGATTATGGAAAGCAATGGAAAAAATTGCAGTTCACATCATTAATAGTTTATTTTCACATAGACAAATGCCAACTTCATAGATGCTATTGAAGGTTTAGAACATTTTCCTGTTTTCATTCTATTGGTGGTGGCCTGGAGAAGGACTGAGGTGGGAGGGGTGGAAAATGACAATATAGTTATGAAGGAGGCCTGGCAGTCAGTTGCCATGTTGTGTATCTGGTGTGTCTGTTTCAGGGCTCTACAATGTGTTTGTTTGAGGAATATAGCCTGTTTGAAAAGAACAAATAGGACAATTCAAATTTAGGTGAAATTTGCTTTTGGTTTGCAATTTACATTAGATAAGCTTTTACATGTAAAACCTCTATCCTTAAAATCTCTGAGCTCATTTGTCTAGATGATTGGTTTTCTTCTGGTCCACTTTATTCTTTATTAAAATTCCTCATCAGGATACCAAATCATCCACCTTCATTAATCCTTCTCTGGAGATGTATGAAGAATCTAAATGATTTCATCTGACCAACTGGGATATTCAAATGCATCATTGATAAACTGGTAAAGATTCCAGCTACACATAGTGAGGAAAAACAGTGAACTGTATAAGAGAGTAGGTTTTTCTCAAGTCCACTTAGTGAGCAAGCCCAGGTTTGTAAGGCTTAAGTTGCTAGAAACTCAGAGCATCTCCTTTCTTAGAAACCTCAGCCAATTTTGCTGCTTGAAGAATAATAAGCTGTTGCTAGCATGGCCTTCCCTGATCCCCTTTACACTCTGATATTTTCCCACCAGTTTTCCCTTTCAAGCAATCAAACTCCATCTCTGAGTCTCAGTTACCATGTCTATAGAAAAGGAGATAATATTTATACCAAATTATGACTGCAGTTAAACATGTGTTTAGCTGCAATGGCAAATGTTTTCATTATATGAGAAAGAAGAGACCAGAGATAGGCTTAGAATTTGTTATTAACCTTCTTTTATGTAATAATGTTTCCTCCTCCCCTGAAGTTCATAACTCGGAAGGAAGTACAACAAAAGCGCTCACGTTGAAGGACATTCTAAATGGGACATTTACTTACAAAACATTTTTTCCTTACTGGATTTCAGGTAAATCAATTATTTCTTTACTTTCTGAGTTTGTCATGAATGTTATTTTCTTAGGTTTTTCCTTTTACTGTCAATGCATCTGTATGGTGATAGAGGTCATCTAGTGGAAATGGGGAAAAAGTACAATTATTTAGATAAGTGACTATCAAGGCACTTTTAGACTGTTCTCACTCAATAGTAATGATGTCAAATCGGAGTTTGGTTAGGAAAGTAGGAGCTGAGAATGTATTATTGGAATAATCTGAGTCTATGGCAGAGCTTTTCTGCATGGGAAATAAGAATCTATTTAGTGGCAATCATGAAAATTTTACCAAAAGAGAAATTCCTTTGTTAGTCTGGATAATCTGAGAGTGGGATAAATCTCATTTCTAAAAGCAATTTCTTGTAAAGATCATAAAGTTGATATTTGTATATAAGTTTTAAAAATAAGATGTCAAACAAGTCTAATCAAACAAATGGGTAATATGACTATATTTTTTATGACATAGTTTACTTGTAAAGTGTCATGAAAAACTTTGAATATATTCATTTTTTCTCTAAAAAGTAAAAGTTATACCAAATAGGTTTTAAACTAAGTCACTATTCAGCTCAAATATCAATATATGTGTTTTTTATTGCAAATGAAATATGTCAACTTTGACAAATTTATCCTCCTTATAACACCATATTGAGAAAACAATATGTATGGGACAGGATGAAAAACAAGGAAAGTCTGGGGGAAAAAAAAGAGGTTCCTTTTTGTTATATATGTATACCCTGTTAAGGGAGATGATTTCTAGTTTCATTTTTCTTTTTGTTTAAAGGACAAGAATATCTTCATCAATCTACAGATAATAATATCATATTTTATAATATTGAAACAGGAGAATCATATACCATTTTGAGTAATACCACCTTGGTATGTATACAACATCACCTTCTTCTTCAAAAGTCTTTGACGGCTCTTCATTAACCAAAGTACTGAACCCAAACCTTTAGCTCTTCACACAAATCAAATCTACCTTCTCTGCTCTATCTTCACTATTGGTCTCCTCCCAATTCTCTCTTCCACTCATGCTGGACTATTGTCCATGCCTCTTCTAATTGACCTAGGATCCCTATCCCTCCATGAAAGTAGTAAGGTGGGAGATAAGAGTTAAGAGCATAGTCTATCGTCAGAGGAATCCTGGCTCTGTCACTTACTAGTTATGGAAGCTCTGGTGTGTTCACATACTACAGCAACCCACTTTTCTTCATTCCTTTCCTTTGCAAAGTATTAAGAATAATGCCTTTTATAATAATTAAATAGTTGAAATGAAGAAACACTTGAAAGTACTTCTGATTAGTGCCTAGAAATGAATAAATATTTTATAAGTAGTAACTCTGATACATGGGCACATGCTATTTTGTCTTCCTGAACTCTCAATCCTCTTACATTCACAACCCACACGAGCCTACCAATATTTTAGTATCAGGATTAGATGATACTCTTCTCCTCGGTGCACACTAATTATCCTTTTATTTGGGTTCAATCACTTTTTCCTTAATGCTTTTGCAGTGCATATTTATATGTCTCATAGAATTTTTGATTTATAATGTAAGTTTCTTCTTTACAAGCTTAATATTGTAAACATCTTGAAATCACAGTTTATATTATTTATCACATCCTTCTCACTAGTATGCAGTAAATTTCTTTGTACATAGTAGGCAATACACATTTTAAATAATAAAATTGAAATATGTAAGATTATATACCATATATTTTAATCATATATCTTTTAGAAAGCAAATTTGCACGGTTCTGCTACTTTTTCTGTATTCTAATCAACTTCCTTATAATTTCAGAAAAGTGTGAATGCTTCAAATTATGGCTTATCACCCGATCGGCAGTTTGCATATCTAGAAAGTGATTATTCAAAGGTATTGACTTCTTAATTTGGGGAATATTTGATTACACCTCCTAGTAGTCCAGAGGTTGGTTTATAAAAAGTTAGAAGAAGCAAGAGTCTATCTTTATTTCTATTCAAAATGTTAATTTGAATTCTAGCTGAGCACTAAATGCATAACTGTAACAGATATAGTAATTCAGAATTTGGCATTTGATTATAATCAAGTGGCACAAACTGCTTTCTTCTAGGGGAAAAATTTCATTTGAGTGCACTGATATTGCTAGAAAATTGGAGATTATACTCCTATTTCTAAAACTATCTGACATCATAAGTCATTAACTAGTTATCACATATTTTAAACTTGTGAAAATGTATTATTATAGAAAATGAAAAAATCAAGATGTAACTCATTTAACTCACTTGCTCAAACAAGATAACGTAGTATAGACCAAGGTTTAAATCTAAGACTTTGGAAACCTGGCATAGGACTTTGTCACTAAACCCTTTTGAATGAAACTGTAGAGGGAAGTTAATCATCTTACTTTCCCTAATGATACATCATCCAGTTTTTTGTTTGTTTGCTTTGTTTGTTTTTGTTTTTTTACAAAAGGCAAAAAATTGAACATACAATTAAACTTCTAATAATTACTTTTAATATTGAGCTTTTGGTTTTGGCTGCTACTTTCTTATATTTTACTGAGGTGCAAATTCCCCTTACAATATAAACTGAAAAGTCAATCTTGTTCTATTCTGGTTGTTCAATCAACTGAATATTTTCTACTGACCAGCATCTTCAGAATGATATGCCTCAAACAGCTACAGATTCTAAGCCAAGAATTTGGAAGCCCTTTTAAGAAACATGTTGCAAAATAATACTTGCATTATTAAACAGGACACAAATATATTTGATATGGATAAAAAGCTATATTTTTTAGGAGGAACTATAACCTATATATCTTCTATTTATGTTTTAAATATATATTACTTTTCAGAAATATATGATTAAAAAAGAAAACATTTTATAACATTGATTGAAATTCTTTTTAACCCATTTTAAATGGTATCATTCTATCGAATTACACAGTGCAGGGTAATCCTTTTGGCCCGTGGAAATGGTAGTGGTTCTATTTCCATCGAGGAAAATAAAGCAAAAAGGGAAAATTCTTCAGATAGAGTGTGTCAAAGCAAGGCTTGTTATATTTATTTTTACATGTCTTTGGATATTCTTTTTATGGAGTGAGGGTTGCATCACTGCTGAGATTAGTTCTGGAACTTGGACAAACAGCACAAAAGATCACAGTGAAACTCTAAATGAAGGTTCATTGGAATTGAAATTCCCTCCTAATGCCTTGTGAAAGTGATCCTTTTGTAATTCTGAGTCTTATATCGAATAGTGTGTCATTGTACATTGTTAATATAAGCTTTTTAAGAATCATAATTTGTTTTTACCTGTCTTCTTTCCGGCAGCTTTGGAGATACTCTTACACAGCAACTTACCACATTTATGACCTCAGGAATGGGTAAAATTTCATTTCTATTCTTTAATATTACTTAAATATAATATACAGTGGCCTCACGTCTTCCTGGGTTCTAAATATACAGATTTCACCAACCACAGATGGAAAATACATATTGTGTGGTAAGGCTATGATAACATCCATACTGAACATGTACATACTTTTTTTTTCTCTTGTCATTATTCCTTCAAAAATGCACTATAACAACTTTTACATAGCATTTATTTTGTAGTAGTATTAAAAGTATTCCAAAATTGACCTGAAATATATGAGAAATATCTGCATAGATTATATGCAAGTACTGCATTTTTTTTTTCATAATGAACTTGAATATCTGTGGATTTTGGTATTCACAAGAGTCCTGATTTTAAAATTAAATAAATAGGTAGGCGAAGAACTATCTGTTTCTGAGGGAGAGAATTCCTGACAGAATGAATAATATATAAAGCCCCAAAGGGAAGGAGAGCTTGGAGTGCTCTGGAAACTCAAAGTAGGTCAGTGAAGTTGAAATTGGAGGAGCACATGCTGACTAGTGGGAGGTGGTACAAGGTTGGGAAGGAGTTAAGGCCAGGAAGCATGGGGTAATAACGAGGAAACCATTTAAAAGAGTTTAGATCCCATTCTGATGACAATAGGGAATCACTGAAGGGTTTTAAATGGGAAATGACATGATCAGATTTGCACTTTAGAAAAATCACTCCAGCTAAGTATGGACAATGAATTGGTTTCATTACTCATCTTAATGTGATATCCTCTTTGTTGTTATATAAAAGGGAAAAAATAATTATATACCTTGAAGGGGTATTGAAAAATCTTATGGTCTGTTTCTCCTTTTGTCTAGCAAGTGTACAAAAAATTTATCTATCCTTTAAGTATTCAGAAAAGAATAACTCTGATCTCCTTAAACTGTCAAATTAAGAAATAGGAACTACTTCATAAAGTAGTATCTAAATCTATCATTATACTTTGAGAGTATCTCTCTTCTCTGTATCCACATTGTTGCCTAATTCAAGAAGTATTTATTGAGCACCTACTAAGTGAAAAGCATAAGTGGAGAGATGCAAATGATTTTTGAGTGTCAATCCCACACTTAAGAAATAAATCTAGATTAGTGAGATGGAAGCTTTACTCTTTCAGTACTATTTCATAAAACTTTAATTATTTCCATATTTTTCAGCATTTTGAAATTCTTCATGCCCTACCTATGTTAAGGTTCACCAAACAGCATTCCAAAATACGATAATTCTATTATTTTAATTATGTTCTGTATAAGCTTTTACCCAGAATCAGCTTAAATATTCAGCTTTTATGCCATGAATTTATTCAAAATGCTGTTTTGGTTTGTTTTGCTCTGCACACCTATCTAATTTGCAAGGTTTTTTGTCAGGTAAATAGAGCATAATTTAGGAAATGAGAGATGATAAATATGTTGAGATTCATTTTAAATCTTATTATGACTAATTCCAAATCTTCTATATGCCTCGGAAGAGTCTATAAAAATCTGCCACAGAGAAATAAAGATGGTTTGGTTTCAAGTAGGGAAGGAACACCAAGCCTTCCTAAAGCCACCTCCTCCATTTACTGCATTGTGTTAATTATTAGAAAACAGAAACAGCAACTACGGGGACTTGCTAGTCATAGAGAGACTTTGTGCTGAGATTTTAGTTAAGTAAGTGGTACAACGTCAAAGTTAACAATGAACACTGCCTTGAGGCAGGATCTTAAACCAGGTGAACAGTGTCTTCTTTTCTGGGTCACTCTCTTTCCCATGTCCTGAAATTCATTATGTCCTGGACCTTCCAAGGACCTGGTACTCATCCACTGTGGCACTCAGAACTCCCACGGCAGCCCCAACAGTCTCCTTCCTCTAACCAACTCTGATCTATACAGTGTCACATTCCCTCACTTTTCTCTAGGCCTCATGTTATATGACCTAAGAAATTAAGTTAACATGTAACATGTGCTACAAGACTTTACAGATAGCCAAGCCTTTAGAGAACAGGAAAAGTAGAAATATTGGGCACCAGTTCATGTTAGAGAGACTGTTTTGGAGGGGAAAACCAGGGCATCTTTCTTGAGGCTCCTCAAATTATACCTTGGAAGCAGGTCTTGTTTTGCTTCTCCACAAAAGCAGTCTTGATGAAACTATTAAATGCAATCTTCAAGAAGAAGGTAGTCAAAACTTAAGCGTGGCATCCCATTACTCTTTAACACTTAGAAAATTCTGAACACATTCTTGCCGCAGAACTAGAAAAACTCCACAATGCAAGTCAGTCAATTGAGTATTTGCCGGGTGACTCTCAGCATCAAAGTGAGATTTCTGGCCAATAGGATATTTGAATTTCCCCCTGGTGGAGGACTTCGCAAGCTGAAGGCAGACTGCCCAGTATACGATCTGTTTTTCAGTTTAGCTTGAGATCAGATGTTCCTTTCCTTTTCTGATTGCAAGTCAGATCCCCGGGGAGATTGTCAAATGGCATCTTATTTTCAAAAATTTGAAATGCATATGCATTCCCAGAGATGGGGGTTGTGAATGAGAATGTGGAAGAGTACATATTAAACTTCAGTACAATTATAGAATTTCAGAGCTGGAAGGCACTTCAGCGACCATCTCAGCCTGGTGTGTACAAATTTTACAGTGCTGAGAGTTCAAAGACTTGAGTTTAATTAGGGGTCTGCCAAGAACTATCAACGTAACCTTAAAAAGTTGTGTGATCTCTCTAACCTCCAGTTTATTTTCTATAAAATGAAGGAATTCTATTAGGAAATTTCTAGACATATTCCAGTTTTCATAGTCTGTAAATTTTTATTCTATTTACTTCACTACAAAGGTCAGAAAATGGAGACCCAGGAAATGTTTTTGACTTATAAACCATTAGTGAAGATCTATGACTGCTTCAACCTTATGTTCTCACATTTTGCCCCGTTTGGATTGAAGAAGCAGAGAGGATGACCCGGCATTTTTATTGTTTGTTTATTTTTCTCCCTCTATGCCAATTTTTTTGCATTCAATAGTAAAGGTCTTTTTTCTTTCTTTCTTTCTTTCTTTCTGTCCATTCTTTCTAGAGAGTTTGTAAGAAGAAATGAGCTTCCTCGTCCAATTCAGTATTTATGCTGGTCGCCTGTTGGGAGTAAATTAGTAAGTGTTTAAATTATGGAAGTGTTTAATCATTTAAATAAAAGAGGAGCCATTTGATTTTGGCCTTTGTTAAATTTTCCTGCCTACAAGAAAAAAAAATAATACATTCATGACTATTTTAGTTGTTAAAAATGGGAAGAGTTTTGATAAATTGAAACCCATCTGAGAATTCCGCAAAATTTCAAGCTCATGGATAGACTTCTTTAAATATCGCAGTCAAAAACTTTATCCTTATCCTCAGCCAGAATGCGTTGTGCCAGAAAGCTCAGGAAAAATATGGTTTTCACAAGTTTCCCAGACTAGCTTCAGACAACATGAAATTTTGTCCAAGCTCTTATTTAAGGGCTCTAAATAAAGATTAGAGCTGGCTAGCTATTAATATTCAGAGATTTATTTGATTTTCTGTCAATATGCATCATTAGTTATATGAGTAATAAAACAACTAGTATGATAATAGCCTTCATCCATTATTTGATATAGACTTTAAAAATCATAATAATGAATTGGTTGGATTCTATTACCTATTAAAATGACATTTGCATTCTGAATTTTTGTATTTGGATTCTTTTTAAAGGGATTGGGTTAATATTAACACAAAAATAATGAATATCATATATAACAAAAATAATATCTACTTCTTTGTATTTCTTATAGAATTTCCCATCATTAACTAACTTGCAAACCCCTACAGGCATATGTCTATCAAAACAATATATACTTGAAACAAAGACCAGAAGACCCTGCTTTTCAAATAACACATAATGGTAGAGAAAATCAAATATTTAATGGGATACCAGACTGGGTTTATGAAGGTAAGCTGTACTATTTTTCTACTGCTTCTGTTTTTAGGATTTTAATTAAAAATTAAAACTGCATACTTGGAGGAGAATTTAGATGAATGGCATTTCAAAGTTGTTATCAGGTTATGAACAGGACATCTATGTTCTGAAAAAAATTTTGTCATGAACAGACTGTTATAATTTATTTCCAGAAGCATTAAAAAGTGGCAGTAATAATTATATTCTGAGAGGAATATGGTTTTAAGATGCAGTGTCAGTATGTTTTCTTGAGAAATACATTTTTCTCTAATCAACTGTCTATACAATGTGTGTGGCAGTATTCTTAGTTTCTGTTACTCTTGTGAAGTCTGTTTTCTTTCTGTGTCAGGGAGAATTAAGAATTTAATTGATTTTAAAAGTCTTTCTAGTCCTTGTCTTTATTTAAAAATATGTAACTGAACTAACCCTATTACAAAAAATTCCCGAGAAAAAATCAATTTTCAATGTTCATGTTACACTGTAAAATTACAGTTCTCTTTATTTGAGCTACTTTAGGTGACAGAAGCTTCCCCCAAGGGGGAAAATAATTGTTGTTGATATATTTATTTAAAATTATATTTTTTGATGGATGTCAATTCCTAACACATTCTGGTGTTTGATATGAGATAAAAGGATCAACAATTCCTTTAAACCCATATTATTTATCTTTTTAACAATGAGAGTATGACATGTGGCATATCCACATAAAATAATTTTCCAATGAAATTAAATAAATTTATTTTCCAATTAATTGCTATACCTAATATGTATTTTATGCTCTTACAATGATGTTAAGAGTAAGGCATAAGTGTATTTAATATGGTAGTGCTTGTTTTCCAGAGGAAATGCTTGCTACAAAATATGCTCTCTGGTGGTCTCCTAATGGAAAATTTTTGGCATATGCAGAATTTAATGATACAGATATACCAGTTATTGCCTACTCCTATTATGGTGATGAACAATATCCAAGAACAATTAATATTCCATACCCAAAGGTATGTTGGATACTTTTAGCAGATGCTTTCACTTTTATGTTGTCAAAATGAGCAGCCAATACCATGAATAGAGGTGGGATCAACAAGTTTTGAGAGCTTCTTAGCCTTGTACATTGTAAGGCAAACATTGTACTGTGCTCTATTATTTATGTGGACATCTGTTGCTTTGGGCATCTGGTTGTGCTGGATGAAGTAGTCTTTGCAAAACCCATTGCAGAATCTTTGGAAAACATATGGTCTAGATCATGGAGGAAAAACAAGCTTAACTTAATTTTCATTTTTTTTCATATTTCATGCTCCAAATTCAGGGTAAAGTTCTGTTTTGCAATTCCCGGTTGAGTTCTCATATAAATGCAAAGCATACTGGGGAAATTCAAATGCTGAACTTGATGTTCCTGTCAGGTGGAAGAAAGCATGGGTTGGGATGTTTTCTGGATATTTAATGTGCATTAAGTATGTAAGGGTAGTTTCTTCCTTAAGGAATTAGATATAATGTGAGCCCAACATTTTCTGCATAAATAGTCTAGAATTCTTATTGTCTATACTTTTCACTCAATCCCATGTCTGAAGACAGGAGCCTTGCATGTGCTGTAGGAAAATGACCAGATCAAAGAGGAGACGTAGGGTTTCCTAATTTAATTTAGATGAGAAATCTAAAAGAGGATGTTCAAAGCCTAAATCTTCTGGGATTGGAAGTGATTTTCATCCCTACTGTTTTTACTAATCAAGGGGAACAATGTCATTGATGAATTCCATGTATATAAAACACCCTTATATATGTGAAAATGACAGGACAGATGTGAAAACACAGGGTATGCAGCACAGAATAGACATGACTAATATTCTAATATTTACATTAAAAAGCATTTGAGAAAATACAAGGAGTAGGAGATAAAGTGTTTCGGTAGGAGATCTATCCAAGGTGGATAGATTCTGAAAGCTGGAAGTGTTTGAACATCAGAGTGTGATAGTTGCAACCCAAAATATTAAAGAATCTGGATCTTTGGGAAGCTGTAAGGGAGGAAAAAGAAATGAAGAAACCCAGCTGACAGTGAGAGGAGGTGGGGCCCAAATTCTCATGTGCCTTTGACGTTGCTGAAATACCTCACTCTGAGCTTGGAGGAAGACAATTTCAAAGAATCTAAGGAGTTCAATTGGACCTCAGGGTGAAACAGGATGGTTAGGAGACTCTGTGCACAGCCTTAGATTAATCCAAACACCACGGAGTCATTTAAGGTTATGTACCAAAGTTTGATGAAATCAAATTGTATTGCAATGATAAGATTCTTGCAATATTCACTTTTCCTGTGGTAAATAAAGGAACTGTAAGGATCTTTCTGGATGTGAACTACACTGTCATGTAAGTGCAGTGTTTATAATATCACAGAAAGCACAAAACAAGGAAAGTTTAAATCTGATGGACACTTTGGAAGTAAGATACTCCTAATCCTGTGGGGATGGAGGTTGTTGTGCTGTGACTTGTTAGGAGACTGAGTGCTTATTGATTGCTCTAGAAAAGTTCTAGGGTAAAGGACAAAATTATCTTTCATTTCATTTCTTCTGCCAAAATCAATCAATCAGAAAAGAGTATATCACCAAACTGCATTTTCATCCTCGAAATGTTTTCCCTATGAGTCAAAGCTTATTTAAACTGTATGTTTTCACTCTAGTTGTCTTAATATTTGTAAAGTAAAATTGAAATGAAATTCCTGGTGATGTTAGACTGCTTTCAAAAGTAATACACTTAACATTATTAGTTTATAAATATATGCCTAAATTCCCAATGGGTTTTAAAAATGTTGGAGAAAATTAAATTTAAAAAAAAAGAGTTATTTATTTATTTGTACAGAACTGGGGTACAGGCCAGAGGTGCAGGGGCAGTGAGAGGCTTCACCAGAGACAGAGTGGGGAGCAGAACAAGCTGACCGATGAAGTACACTGCTGAGGGGAGAAGCGGGTGGGTCCGGAGAGGTCTGCTGCACCATGTGGATCACCTCCAGAGCTGAGGATCGAACTCATGCTGAAGTGGCTTTAGCTTCTTAGTGCTGTATTTAAGCTGCTGCTCTACCAGGGAAGGCACAAGAAAATTAAAATTTTATGTACTTACATAGCTTTATTTCCTTGCCAGGCTGGGGCTAAGAACCCTGTTGTTCGTGTATTTATTATTGATACCACTTATCCTGACCATGTCGGTCCCAGAGAAGTACCAGTTCCAGCAATGATAGCTTCAAGGTACATTGATCTCCGGTGCATTACACCTTTTCATCTGAATTTTTTTTTTTTTTAAAGATTTATTTATTTATTCATACAGAAGTGGGGTACAGGCCAGAGGCTCAGGGGCGGTGAGAGGCTTCACCAGAGACAGAGTGGGGAGCAGAACAGGCAGATCGACGAAGTACACTGCTGAGGGGAGCAGCGGGCGGGTCAGGAGAGGTCTGCCACGCCATGTGGACTCCTCCGGGGCAGGCAGCAGGCGGGAATCGAACTCATGCGGAAGTGGCTTCAGATTCTCAGCGCTGCGCTTCAACCCGCTGCGCCACCAGGGAGGGCCTCATCTGAATTTTTTAAAAAAATATTTATTTATTTATTCATATAGAACTGGGGTACAGGCCAGAGATGCGGACGGTGAGAGGATTCACCAGAGACAGAGTGGGGAGCAGAACAGGCAGTTCGACGAAGTACACTGCTGAGGGGAGCAGCGGGCAGGTCAGGAGAGGTCTGCCACGCCCTGTGGACTCCTCCAGGGCAGGCGGAAATGGAACTCATGCGGAAGTGGCTTAAGCTTCTTAGTGCAGTGCTTTAACCCGTAGCGCCACCAGACAGGGCCCTTCATCTGAATTTTAATACTGAAATTTCTTTAATCAAGATTTACACTTCTTTTCTAGTGAATTTGTGATGTGTATTCTATAAATAAAAATAAAATGAATACAAAGGTAAATGCATAATTAAAAAACCAACCAAGTATCTTATATTAGGTTTAAAGTGTTAGTAGTTGTTATACATTTGTCAGTCTTTCACTAAAATGCAGCCTATTTTCCATATTCTGCGATTGTGGATGTATCTCTTTGGGAAATAACTGATAAGGACAGAAAAAACTTACTTTACCCAGCACACTGACCTATGTAGATCTGGTCTGATTAACCTGGTTATGGCAACTGCTCAGAGTCCTTCAATCCTCTGTTTTTTTGGTCATACTAGATAAAAGGAAGGGATCCCCAAGTCCTGCCCGGTGGGGCTCCTTACCATTTCCCAAACCCCAGGAGGTAAAGGCTTGTCTTCCCCTGAAGTGTCTCATGAAGGAGAGTCAGTCACAGCCAAATTAGTGATTGCTAATAGGGAAATGAACCTTATCAGAGACCTCTGGTGGGCCTCGCAAAGATGAATTCAGTCATGGATAATCAAAAATGTCTTTTAACTTTTTGAGTTATCTGTTATTCCCACTCCAACCTGATAGACAAATTCCTGATTAAATAAATCTTTATTTAAAGGTTATTCTCTTCAGGAGGGAAATGCAATGATAGTGAGACACCGTGATACAAGAAGTTGAGAGATTTGTTTGACTACCTGTCAAACTAACAATATAGTAGTAATCACTAGCATTTTTTTGAGCACTCATGTAAAAGTTTTTAAGAACATCAAGTGCATTCAGAAAATCTTTATAGCTCCCCTTAAAGCTGGTAAGATTCTCATTCCTACTTTGTATAGAAACAGAGTCTTAGATAGGTTCAGTAGGCCACAATTTGAGACTCACCTCTTAGTAAAGTGATATTTTTATATTGTTATCCAAAATTCTATAGTTCTTTACATTGATGTTTTCTATTGACAAATGCTCAAAAGCATTGCTGCCATTTCTTGACACCTGATTGTATGCAAGTACTCTTTCAGCTATTTCTACATCGTGTATGATTATTACACTAACCACAATATCTACTCCTTTGACTGTGGTTACTTTAAAACTCAACTTCCAACACAAATCTGTCTGGGGAGAAAGATGGCCTTTTACCACTTGGTTTTCTCTCAACTAGTTAAAAAAGAAGAAAAAAAAAGCACCTATTTATAGCCAGTTTAGTGCTTTTTCTGCTCCAGATTGACCAGTAGTTTTGACCTTATGTCTTTAATTCTTTCCTAAAATATAGTTTCCTAAAATGGGTAGAAAACTCCATGTAAAATAATTCTATTTTATGAATAAAAGTTAGCAGGTATATAAAAACTTTCTCTACAGAAAAAGGAAAAAAAAGTCTTATTTATCTATAAGAGAGATATTTCATGATAATGAAATACAATCTTTTGAAAATAGAAATTAGGAAATTATTTGAATGTTGTATTGGTTTATGGTTGTGACTCTGTTTTGCTTTATTTGCAGTGACTATTATTTCAGTTGGCTCACATGGGTTACTGATGAAAGAATATGTTTGCAGTGGCTAAAAAGAATCCAGAATGTTTCAGTGTTGTCTATATGTGATTTCAAGGAAAACTGGCAGATATGGGATTGTCCAAAGGTAGGTTTTATTAAAGCTACAGACATGCATTTCTGAAGATAAAAGAAGATAGGAGAGTTAGCAAAGTTACAGTTGTGTATCAAGAAGCCAGAATTTTGCTTTCAACTTCTGATTGCTTTATAAAAAACAATTCTCCATATATTCACAGTCCCTTTATTTTTATTAAATAAGACACTTCTTGTTTTTAACATTGAAATTAAAAGAAAAGACTAATAGGAACAAAAAAAAATTGGGAAACTCTGGTATCTGGTGATTGGTTAAGATGGATATCCATTCTTTGCCCTGCAGAATGGCAGTCATGAAAAGCAAATTTTAAAGATAAAAAAGTGTGACAAATTTATTAGAGAAATAAATATATTATCTCCAAAAGAATCAAAGGAGAAATTAAAATGGGGGCATGGACTATTTAATGTCCAAAAAATTCCACAGAAAATGGATATTGTTAAAACAATTGCTAACAATTGTTAAAATCAAAAGTGGACACTGGAAATATGACATGTAATATCAAATCAACTTATCCTGTTGAATTAGTAGAGTGCTTCCCATGATGCTAATTTTAGGAAGAAAAAAATGAAAACTAGGCACAGATTTATTGTTGAGTTTTAATTGTTTCTATTGCTAAAATCCAAACATAATCTGTTGAATTAATGAGTCAGAAAAGTACTTCACTAGTCTAAAAGCTTTATGAATAAGTGCATTCATAAGAACTCATATTAGAGACTAAGAAATACAAAATATTTTTTTCATGGAAAATTTGATGGGTACATTTCATGAGACTACTAATTATGAAGAAATGTTCCATTAAGCTAAATATAGAATAAACCTATTTTATAAAGGAAAAAAGCACAGAGCAATCAAAGAAAATCACTAAACTTCATCTAGAAATTAGGACATTATGTTTTGCAAGGAGAAAGTCATATGAATGTTGTTTGGAAATATATCAGGACTATAATAGTCAACATAACTCAGGCTAAAAATATGTTTTTAAATCACTACTGTGTCTGTAAGAAGCTTGACTAATTTTGATGGAATCTGCTAGAATCTTATTTTTGTCTTATTTATATTTTCATATACAAAGCAGAAAGATTTTGGCTTTCATGCAGTATCACAGGCAAATTAAAGAAAAAGGATAGAATAAGCTTGATTGTGCTAGTTAATTAGAAATCACTAGTCTGATTACTCAATTTTGACTAACTATGCATTTAACATATATGTTAAGCCTAGGTTTTAGGAATTATAACATTAAGCTTTTTTATCTTAAAATCGTAATATTGGTCATTTAGATACAATTTTTAGCTCTTAAAACTAGGCATGTAAAAACTGTGATTGCTTTGGAATTTGAAATTCTAATTTATCAAAATCTGAGACAACTTTAATCCAAACTGACAGAACATATAAGATGCTCATTCAATGAGACGTGGAATTCCCTGGAATATAAACTTTAGTATTATGGCCAAAAACAGTGCTTAAATTTAGACTACCAGGTTTGAATAACCTTAGGATTCAAAACAACCTCTGCTTCAAAATAATCTGGTAAATACATGGAACATATTTTCAATTTTAAGAACAACAGTGTTGAATTTTTCAGCAACCATGCACGTGTGACTCATCTTTCATTTCTCATGACTGGTTGTGTGTGTGTGTGTGTGTGTTTTGTGTGTGTGTAAAACAAAATATATATATATTTAAGAGAAAGGGAAATGGCAACATGTTACTGATTTTGGAAAGTTATACCCAGAACAAAGAGTAAAGGAAACTGGCAATTGTAACTTATGATGTTGCTATATCTATGAGTTATATTTGCACTTCGGTGAATAAACATATTTAACATTATATTCCCTCCTCTGAAAAGGGGATTAAAATTAGCAATACTTATATAGCTAAAAACAATGAATACTTTTTTTTTTTTAACCATTTCTTTAAATTGCATCTTTACTTACTCTCTGAGGCACTGTCTTATCCCTATAGGAAAAAACTCCAACTGTGATTTTTAAAATATGTTATTTCTTTACTTTTTATGATCATATACACTCTAATATTTCTCTTTCTTCTTCACTCACTGTTTTTTCCCTTTCAGCTCTTCCGACTTCTCTAGAAATCTTACTATTCTCCAAGTTAATGTATTTGCAAGGTAGGCTAAATGCTATAATAACAACAACCAAAAGACAAACAAAAAATAAAGCTCTAATAATTCAGCGGGTTACTACAGTAGATATTTTCTACACATTCATGTTAACTGTCCAATAGTGAGTCCAAGTAAGGAGTGAGGGGGATGGGGGATGGGCTGCTCTTTTCTACTCAGTCACCTAGTAACCGAGATTGATAATATCTCAGCTATTATTGCTGTTAGCTTAAGGGCATTCAAATCTGAGTATCAATATCCAATGAGGGATGGATAAAAGAATAAAGGATCCTTGTATGAGAGGTTGTTTTTGTAGGTTATGTATAGGTACAGTCTGATTCCCTTCTATTCACTATTGATTAGTATTTATCACATGATCACTGCCAGCTGGAAGAGGGACTGGGAAATTTAGTTTATGCTGCAGAGAGGAAATGCATCTGCTGATTATCTCATAATCTCTTTTTAACCTCTTTTGGTGGTTTTCGTGTGTGCCAGGAGCTTCTGTTACCAAGCTAATGTTACTGCTGTTACCGCTTGTTCATCAAATTCATCCTGTGGTTTGATCTTTTAGGCATCTCTGCTCCATCCTCACTACCACTTCCTAGATTCAGTTCTTGGTCATTCTTTTTGTCCTCACCACAGTAGTCTTCTAATAGTCTACCTCTTTCTGTCTTACCTGCTTCTTACCTATTTTCTGTATCATGTTCACAATTGCATTATCCAAACTAATATTTTAAATACTTGAAGAGATTTTGTAATTTCAGGTAAAATACAGATATCCTAGACTTGGATAAAAGTTTCTACAAAATCTTGCAGACATGTATATATATTCTTTCTTTTTATAGCTCTTTTCCATCATCACTGTCCACTTAGCCTTACTGTACCACCTGTATTTTGTTAAACTTGTCTGGTCTCTAAGCTGTTCATTCTGTCTAGAATGTTCTCTGTTTATCTAGAAAAACTTATTCACTCTATTAGGCTCATAAAATATTATTTGTTCAATAAATAATTGATTGCATTATGCTAAAATATACAACAAAAGAGAATTCAGTGCAAGTTTTGAGATTCCTACTTCATAACACCTACACTCCAGTGTGAAGTACATTTTTACTTACATGACACCATGCTTGGGTTGTGCAGGCCTTCTAGATGTCATGATAATTTTTGCTCATTTCCTCATGAAAGATTTAACCAGAATTATTAAAGTTACAGTTGTGATACCTATGTATATGCAACCCCACTTTTCTGTAAGATTTTGAGTATAGTCATCTTAAACTCAAATTTGAGGTTAGTTGATTAACAATACTACACAACCAGACAGCTTAATTGGTTCAAAATGTCCAGATTATATGATGTCTACTGTGATTCTTTTGTCTTTTAGGCCCAGGAGCATATAGAAGAAAGCACTACTGGATGGGCTGGTGGAGTATGATTTTGTTATCTTTTTCCTTATATTTTAATGTAACTTGACAGTTTCTTACCTAATTAAGGATTATTTGAAATGCATTCAAACTGGAATTAATGTTGTCATAGAAAAAAATATCAAGGTAAAATACACAAAGGTAGTAATTCTTCAGGAATTTGGGGTCAGTCAGTTTTGATATTTATATTTTTAGAATTTTATTGAGAATCAATCATTATTCATTACTTCTCATATCCCAACCTTAATTTTTTCAATTGATTCTCTGATATCTATAATTAATATTATACAATGCATAAAGATCTTTTTTTGTCTTAACAAAAAAAAAAAAGGGACACAATCCCTGATCTGCTAAAAACCAACTTAGTAATTATTAGTAATTTGAGTTCCAGAAAATACATATTGGATATGCTCAGAAATTTAGAGTATTTTCTACTAGCTAGATTTTACCTAAACAAAAGATTAATTTCATACCTATTTTTTTAGTTTTTAAGTAAAGTGATATCAAAAAGGAAAATGTGCGTTTTCTTGTGGTTTATGCTGATATAGCTAGATTTTTGCATAGGTTTAATTAGTGATGTCTGAGGTTTTTATTGTAAAAAAATTTTGTCTTAGAAAACTATCAATTGTATTTTATATTCCACTGTAAAAATCAAAATAGGAGAGAGAATAAGTGAATACTGTGTGGATGGAGCCACTTATCACATATCATTTCTTTGAAATTCTCTGAAATTTGTACACATGCATAGAAAAAAAGAAAACTCAGTTCCTGATTTAACCCAGTAGCCCATGATACAAGACAAAGAATTCAGAAACAATTCTTCGATGAGAAGTCTTATAAAATAGCACATTTAATAGGGAGGAAGGAGGTAACTTGTAAAGTAAAAAAGTTGAGAAATTTAAATTCTTTTTAATTCTTTTTAATAGCTCTAGCCTTTTGCTTATATTTGCTCTGACTTCAAATAAAGATACTTTTTAAAAATTCATTAACTATAATAACTATGACTTTCTTAATAATATATCATAAATATCAGTTACATTCTAAAGTATAAAGGATATGAAATTCAGAAAATAAAAGAGAAAGTTTTATTTGAATTTATGTTTTGCCACTGTTCTGACTAAGGAAAAATTAGAAAGTGTGAAAGTACAGGATTTTCCCAACTTTTGAATTCTTGATCAGTCAGAATCTCACCTACCAAAAATATAATTCCTAGATCAGCATGTGAAAACTTGAAGTAAAGGGAGAGTTAATCTGTGCATTCAGTCCTATTATAAAGATTTCCATAAACAATGAGAGGAAGAAAAAAGTTGAAAATTCCCTTTAGTTATGTTCTCCATGAGCATATTAATCTATGCTCATATACTCTAAAAATACTACCAGCTTTTGTAATACTATAAGTTATGTCCTCTGTGATGATAATAGTAATATGAATGGTGTACTTTTATAAATAGAGTTCATGCATTTTGTTGTCAACAATTACCCTATTACTTTTAAATATTTGCATATACCAACCTCACAATCTCAGAGAATATTCGCTGGATGGATGAATAAATACATAAAAATACCTTCTAAAGCTATAGAACACTGTTTCAAACACTCTAAGGGGAGATATATCTTAGTCCTTTGGGGGGAGATAAGATTCTTACTTCAGTCAAAAGTCATGTCAAAATAAATCTAGTGAATAAATAATTTGAGATTTTTATTAGACCATTTTAATATCTGCGGTTACAGGATTCTATTAGCAAGCAATATTATGTACTAATCTTGATCTCTTAAAATTTATCTGTCAGTAACTTTCTACCTATCAAAAGAGGAATTGTCAGGAATTCTTTGTAATGATAACTTCCAAGAAAAAAATACACACTCTCTGAAAGCAATGCTCTAAAGAGTTTATTCATTGGGTATTCTAAATCTTGACATAACTTTTGAAAAAGCCAGGCCACAACTTTTTAAGATCTGTTATATCAGAACACACCGAATAGCTTCTTTGACCATTGATCAAACCAATGACTTAACAAAATTACATAGAAGTAACCTGGAAATATGTTAGTTCAAATAATATCTGCTATATCTTAGGTTAAATGTACAGGCTAGTTATATTAGTATACATTTAAAAAGCAAGTTTGGAGCAGTTCTTCCTTTAGAATAGTTGCAGGCACAGAACATAAAACAGATTCCTTGAGAATTTTATTTATCGCTTTTTTTCCCTCTAGAATGAAATTTTCATGTCATTGAGATAAGTAAGCTAATTTATCCTTTGATTTTTAATCAGAAAAGTAACAACGATGAATTAACTTTAAATTGCTTTTGACCTGTAGATAACAGGCAAAAGGTGGTTTTAATCAAAGAATCTGGTATTTAATTACAAAAATTTGGTCACCAAACTCAAAGCATCACACTTAGACTGCAAAGTCACACTTAAGCTTTTTAAAAATAATTAAAGACACACAACACCTTCTTTAGGTAGTTGGAAAAATTCTTTGGTTCAGAAAAGTGAATTTTCTACTTGATGTTTAAATGTCTGCTGACTGAATAGGAACTCAGTTTAGGCATTAATGTTAGATAAGTAGGGCCCCCAGTCATTCACAAACTATGGCAAAAAACTATCACTTGGTAAAAAAAAAAAAACAACTTACCATCCAAGTAACGTATTTTAAATAGCTTTGCATTTCATGTAGCAATGAGTCATTTTCCACAAAATCTATGCAAAATAAAAGGACCTGTGTAGGAGCATCATTAAAAGTGAGGACCACCTAGATATGTGTGCTTATGTCAAACCCAGGTAGGACTTGCTGCAAGAAGCACTTAACTCAGAACGCATTACAGGCCTAGCTGTAGTAAAGTGAATACGGAAATATTTCACACTCTCTTTACCTCACCCAAGTTACATGTGCATCTAAAATAGCTATCTTGGGTTGTGCAATAAAAAGGGAAATGATAACAGTCTTTACTTAGCAAAGATACGCTTCCTGTTTGCTTGATTCTAATATCTAATAGATAATATTCTGCCCTCTTATTTTTAAAGTTTCAATGAAAATGTAATTTTAAGGTTTGATGTAGAACAAAACAATTAAGAATTTCCTTAACCAACTACAGATGTAATTATTTTTCTCTGAAATTTTAAAACAGCTTGCGACTCCTTTACTTTTTAGTGGTTAAGACAGCATAGAGCCAGTTTTTATCTTTAAATCTGAGGAGTGACGCAGAGGTATTTTAAGGTGATTATTAGTAAATAGGTTATCATTTGAATAAAAGTACAAAAATTCATGCTAAAATGAAAAGGATTTTGTCAGATGTCTACTAATGAAGTTCCACTCATAAAATTAGAAATCAGAATTTTCTATTCCTGGTTCTCTAGGCTCTCAATTTCATTTAGAGGCATGGTTAATCTCTGCACAAAATCTACCAAGGTTGGTCTTATTATTAAGAAAGGTAATGAAGGAATCATGTAAAGAGACAGCAATTTGTCATCAACCCATTTTTTCACTTTGTTAAAGACAATAACTCTATAACAAATGTTAAGACTTAGGACACCATACTTGATTCCCAGGACACATGTAACTACCACAAACTTTGTGGCTTAAAACAAGAAATATATCCTCTCACCACTTGAGAAAGTAAAAGTCCTAAGTCATATCAGAGTTTCATATCCCTCTGGAGTCCTAAGGAACAAGCCTTACTCTTCTAGCTGAGTAGTTTCTAGCAGTCCTGATTTGCAACTACATCATCAGTCCTGTCTCTCCTTTCTTCTTCACAGGGCATTTATCCCAGTGTCCCTGTGTCCTCTCATCTTCATATGAAGATAATAGTCATTTGACGTGGGGCTCAAACTAGTCCTATATGATCACATCTCACTTGTTACCTTGATCAATCTGCAAAGAACTTATTTCCAGATGGGGGTGACTGTCTTAATCCACTTGACTGTTGTAATAAAGTACCATACACTGAGTGTCTTATAAATAACCAAAATTTGTTTTTCCTAGCTTTGAATTCTTTAATTCTGAGATGCCAACGTTGTTGGGTTCTGGTGAAGGCTTGCAGTAATTCACAAAGACCTCACCTCTTTTTACCATTCCACTGTGGAATAGTTTCAACATATGAACTTTACCTTCTGAAGTTCTGGGTGGAAATGAGTTGTGTAGAACTATATTAAGCCCTTTATAGACACTACAGCAAATAAATTATATTTTAATATCACACAATTATAATAATCAATTTATCAAAAAGAATCAAGTATCAGTTGAAATGTGGTCATCAGAGGCCAACATAGATTCTCCAGATTTTTCTTTCTCAAAAATCTTAACTGGATGGCAACCAGATAGGTTTCTTTTTTTCATAACTAAAAAATATGTTTTTTTTTTTTTTTTGGTTTGTGTTATTTGGCTCTGTTGTAGACCTGAATGTCTTGGTTCACTACAATGTGAAAGGTCTCAAGCTAGAAAGAGATGGTTTTAGATCATTCATGGGAACATCTATTCTGCCTGATACAGGGTAACTCTTTTCTCATGTAGTTTCTTTTGCCTTTTTGTGGTACTTTTACCACTGGAAAAAAAAAAGAGCCCAACAAATGTCAGATAAGTAATTTTATTTTTTATTGGGAGAAAAAACATGAAAGTGCTGGCTAAATTTGGATGTGAAGACATTGTAGGAATTTATTTTTCTGTACCATTGAAGTTGTTGAGGTGTGGCTTGCTTTGTTCCAAACCACACTAGAGCTCAGTGTTAGGGATGCCTTAGGTCATTAAGCTGTTCCCAACAAGTACCCAGGAGGGTTCTGAGAAAAGCCAGAGATAGCCAATGAGGTCAACTCAACTCCCTGGGCTCAAGAAGTAAACCTCCCATTTCTTTGTCCCGGGGAGCCCTTTTCTTTAAAGTTCCTTCCCACCATTAAAAACTGTGGCTACCTGGCGATGGCATTTAAAGCTTTAGAAATGTCTTCACTGAGTCATTGGCATTAGGTGTTGGCATCTGACAAAGAATCAAAAAGGCAGTCAGCCTTAATGAGTCAGACTTTAGTTAAACATCCTATTTTGAAATTTAACTCAGTAAAATATCAACCTTTACTTGTGATTCTTTTAACTCTCTTTTTAAGCTATATTATTCTAGAACATAAAAATTCAGTCAAATTAAACATTACCAATTTATTGGTGTGTAGTAACATTTGAGCAGTAGCTGGGATGAGGTAATGACAGAATCACTGGAAAAGCTGTCTACCGAAAGAATGGAGTTTCAGATGTGAGTGATGGAAGGGTATCAAGGTCTTTTGGGTCCTATGATCAGGATAAGATGTTTTTATAGAAAATAGAGTTTCAGTTTAGTTTTTCTTTTGAACATAACCTCTGTTCATTTCTTTCAGTTCTTTGTTTCAACACCAGTTTTCAGCTATGATGCCATTTCATACTACAAAATATTTAGCGACAAGGATGGCTACAAACATATTCACTATATCAAAGACACTGTGGTACGTTCCTTCCAAGATTTTATCTCCTCAAAGATCATTCACTTGAGGTTGCTCAAATAACGCTCAACTTCACACAACATAATGTTTGTCTTTTTATAGGAAAATGCTATTCAAATTACAAGTGGCAAGTGGGAGGCCATAAATATATTCAGAGTAACACAGGATTCGCTGTAAGTATTACATGAAGCACGCAGCACCATTCAGGTTTCAATTGGCACTGATGGATGTCCAAATGGTACTACACCACCCCACTTGGTTAAGAACATTTCTGTTACTTCCTGTATAGTTGAGACAGGTTTCATTAAGAGTGCAGGTTTTTAATAATGAATCAAGATGATTTTCTTTTGAATAGGATGTTTAGTAGATGTATAGTAGACTTCTCTGTTCTCATACTTACTAATTATGTTAAAAGCATAATTTATCTAAAAGACAATGAGCAAACTTTAAAAGTCCATTTAGAATAATCCATAGACACAGAAAATCCTTTGTGTTCACTCATGGCTATATAAGTTTAAGATTATCTATAACAGTTATCATTTGCTGCACAATACTATGTGCCATATACTGTAAAATAGAAATGTTTATGCCCATTTTATGGATAAGAACACAGATACTCAGAATAATATGGCCAAGGCCATATAGTGGCAGAACTATAATTCAAATCTAAAACATATTAAACCATTACTAACCAACTTATTACTAAACAACATGGGATTTATTTCTTCCAGTCGTTTCCTTTCAGGCCATCATGAATACTGTCTAACTAAACTATCTTGAAAATAATCACTTATGATAAAATTTCTCTAATCATGAACAAATAATTTATTTTACTCACTTTTAATAATGATAAAGGAGTAGAGGAGTACCCTCTTATTGATCATAATATGACTACCATTGACTGGGATTCTGAGAGCAAAATGGCAGGATCATAGTTGAGGCTCACTGGATAAAAACCAATTACCAACCCCTGGAATTCTTTCATGGAACAGTCATTAAAATCACCAGTATAAAAGGAGTAACAAGATAAAAAGAGAGAGGAGATTGATTCAGAAATAATGTATTTAGATAGTAAAAGGAAACTGAAGGCAGGAAAACTCAGTATGGTCATTTCTATGTTGTAGATGAGACAGGCTGGAACTAGAATACTGGCCATGAAATATGGACTCTTCAGGCAAAACTATACCTCCTTTCTATGCATTCCTAGTGTTTGGTGCAATGCCTGGCAAAGAGTTGGAGTTCAATAAATATTGAACAAAAAGTGTAGATAGGTGGTAAAGACAGATGGAGGCTGAACAAGACTGACAAATTAGTGACTGAGGGAAAAGGGAAGGAAAAGAGGAAAAGTGGACTCTGTAGCAAGTGATAGAAATGAGGACTATTGTGAAAACTCAGATATAACAAGAGAACTGCCAGAAGTTGTTTGGAAAAAAATAATGTGTGATTTGAGAGGATTTGGGAAAGGCAAGTAAAAGTGATGACTAAAGTATGTGAATTTAATAAAGATATGTAAAATATGCTGGTTTAAAAGACAAATTTAACACTAGGAGTGAGTTATATTGCTGTGTATTGTGTGTAGCAAGGTTTTTATGACAGTGAAGACATAAAAATATCTAGACTGTTGAATAGTCTTAAGAATTGAAATAATGGTAAATGACCAAATTTGGGTGGTTTTAAATATTTTAACATATTATTATTATTGTTGTTATTATTATTGAGAGATTGAAAGAGAAACAGAGGAAGAGAGAGAGAGGGATAGATAGTGAGAAACTGACTTTGTGGTATTTAGATGAATTCACTGAGGAGTGAAAATCATGTAGCTAAAATTGGATTTCCCACTTCATGGCTATATTAAGACAGGTTAGAACTGGGACCTGGGTACTTAAGTAACAAGTATGTTCTCTTGTGACTTGTTTTGCATCTGGGTAAATTGGCATGGCTTTTTGTGTGGTATCCCAGTGTGGATGAGTTTCCTGATTTATAGCAAACGTATCTACTGTCAGGGATTCTGTAAAACAAATTCAAAACGTGCAGAATCCCAGACAAAATTAAATAATGTAGTATAGAGAAACCCATAAACTGTTATTAATCTTAAAAAGGAAAGGGGATATCCTAGATTATTTTTGTGTGTTTCATAATTAATGAATCAAACATTTAAATATAATATACCTAATTGTAAAAAGCATGACCTAATCTTTTTCTGATAACTTGAAAGTCAGAGTAGGTAACCCAAATTCAGTGTTTGAACACAGTAAATCATACAGGTAAGTCCCAACTAGTAGTTTTATTAGGTGAAAGTTGGGTTACATTGTTTACTATATTGGTATTAGTATTAATAATTCTGTCACCATTTAGTCATAAATATTTAATAATTTATAAATACATTTTCAGGTTTTATTCTAGCAATGAATTTGAAGGCTACCCTGGAAGAAGAAACATTTACAGGTAATTTATGTCAATTCATTCTGCTCCTTTTGTAGATTGATATTTGAATAAAAATCCACCAAAGTACTCAGAAATTTTAGAATATTATTTAAAAGCCCTGAATAAAGTAAACTCAATAAAGGGGGTCAATTTTATGGTATTAGATGATAATGCTTTTTGGTGTTAATCATAATGTAGTCTATACATATGTCAAAGTATAAAACTGTATACCTGAAACTTAAAAAAAAATAGAAACGCAAATTCTTAGATTATGAAAACAAAATGGTGGTTACTAGATGAGAAGGTGGATGGTAATGGGCAAATCAGGTAAAAGGAGTCAGGTGGATGGGAAGGGATGGAAGGTAGACTTTTGGTGGGGTTATCTATATAGATGCCAAAATATGCTCTACACCTGAGATCTAGATAATGTTATGAACCAATGTTATAAAAAATGTAAATGCTGAAGTATAATAAAACATACTTACTATGTGAAACATTCAGAGGATGTTGTATACTATATCACTATACAAAAAAAAGTATAATTCCAAATATTAATCAACTAAAACTATTTTCTTTTCAAAAAGAAAAAACTAATAATTCTAATGCTGATATAAACATCATTCTAAATACTTCTTCATTTAAAGGTAATTGAGGGCAATCTTTCACTTAACACACATATATTAAGTACTATTATATATAAGGTGTTATATTTATAACAGTATTTTTTTTAATATGACTCAATTTGGCTTAAACCTATCATGCTTAAAAATAATTCATCTCTGTTCCTAAATTTGTTGAAATTCAGTTCAGCAGTCCCCTTGCTGATTGGAAAGGCACCTTCAACAGCCCCTTCTATGTGGAAATAAAAGCAATATTTACCATGGTTGGTAGTTTACTACACATGCTAGACACTTTCTCTTATTTACATATATAATTTCATTGAATCCCTACAACTCTGCAAGTCTGTGATGTTGTTAGAGTCAGGATTTGTACCTATACCCATGCTGACCTTAATCCTTTATTCTTAACTGCTTTCCTAGTATTTCTAAGATTGCACCAAAATATTAACATAAACCATAACTGAGGAAGTAACTTTTCCTTCTGTTGCATTACTCTGTTTCCTGCTGGATCATGGCTACTGCTGTGTTGGGGAGAATCCCTCTCTGGCACTAGCAATGTCTCTGTCCACTCTTCACTAAGACTAGGGCAAGGCCAGTGGTGGGTGGCAGCAGAAGGCACACAGTGGCGGCCAGGAGTAACCCTACTAGCTATGGGGAGGGGGGGAAAGGGGGGGAATGGAGTCTCTGCTTCTGCCTCATGCTGGCATAATGACCTAATTTGTCCTCAATAAAATTCTGATTTCTGAGAGTTTGGGATAAAGTCTGGGAGTCTGATCTCCCCATTCAAGCTGATCTCTCCAAGAACCACACCGAAGGTTCAACTTGTGTGGTGAGTATAGTGCCTAGTGTGGAGGGAGAATCCCAGAACCCAAATTTCCTGCCAAAAAGAATGAAAAACATAAAATCATGGTTTCTTCTATCTAATATTAATTTCACCTTCTAGATATATCTAAGAACAGGCACTGCTTTTTTGATAACACTGCCATATTTTCCTACTATATTTTGCCAGGGGGGTACAAAAAATAATGGGAGATGAGGAACTTTGCATTCTCAAACATTTTATAAAGTGGTGGCCCCAGAGAGACCATGAAGGACTTCTCTTTCTCAATTTACTACCTATTAGGTCAAGGATGAGTCTCTTTCTCAATTTACTACCTATTAGGTGAAGGATGAGTCAAAACACATCAAAATACTGTGATTCTGCTTTACTTCAGAAGATATTGGCAACAGAAAAATAGAGTGTCAATATGCAAATTAGCCATTTTACATGGAGTATCACATTTCAATCAATACAATCTCCAAATTTCAGCTGAGTTTTCTTTTCATTTTCCTCTAGAATTAGCATTGGAAGCCATCCTCCAACCAAGAAGTGCATTACTTGCTATCTGAGGAAAGAGAGGTGCCAATATTACACAGCAAGTTTCAGTGACTATACCAAATACTACGCACTCATCTGCTATGGTAGGTAATGGACCTAACACAGATTCCACCTCTTTCCCATCTCTTCCTCACCACCATCTGATCACTCCTTTGCTACTGGCTATTAGCACTTGTGCTACATGAGGCTCTTATCTATGTTATCTTATCTAGTGTTTATGGAAAGAATGGGGGGAGGTGGGAAGACATTATTACCCCCATATTTTGCAGTTGAGGAAACTAAGCGTAACTTATAAAAAGTCCCTGCTACTGTTGAGCATCATAGCCAGGATGGGGGCAAGGGTGTGCTGACTATAAATCCCAAGCTCTTATCCACCAAGTGCCTCAGCACCTGGACTTGTACGCAAATACCATCCACCAGCTATCTACAGCAGGATTCAAACAATACCATAAAACGATGTGTTCTCTGATGATATGGTTGTTGCACTTTGGTCCCATTTATTCAGAAATGTCAGTCTTCTACTTTCAAAGGAAGAACAATGACTGAGAAATCTGAGTTCCTTCCCTTGGGGGCCAGTGATTTTATGAGTTGTAATTTCAATTAGGATGGAAAATAAGCTTTATCACCTAGTATGTCCTTTCTAAGCTTTGAAAACATAGTAAGTTATACAACCAAATATAAAAAACAAAATCATAGTAATACAATATACTAAATAGTTCCTGGTTGTTTAGGCCATGTGCATATTAGTGAAGAATTTCTATATATAAATATAAATCTTGACCTTATATATAAATCTTGATTTTAAGGCAAACGAAGACATAAGTCAGGCAATTGGTAGATCGATGAGGTATGTTAAAGTCTTGGAGTAATCATAGGGATTTAGAAAGCTGACTTGGGAAATAGCTACTTCTCCATTTCCTCCCTTCCCCAGAGTTAGTCCCTAAGTGGCCCTATTGGGACAGAAAACAGGGAGTTATTGCAATATGCATGCTGCTTTCCTGTTTGTGGGATGGGATCTCAGAGAACAGGTGGGAACTTTGACAAATTGAGATCCTTGCTCAGTTGCAGAGGACCCCAAAGTCATCTTTATTTACCAGAAGAAATGTCATCCTGGCATGCCACACCCCTCAATCCATTACTAGGTCCCAAACCCAGAGCTTTGTGAAGAATAAGCATTTTAACCTAAAAGCTCCCTTCATGAGATGTCAGTTTCACAAAATGTTTGGTCAGTGGCATCTTTGAAAATTCAAGACATTGTTAAAGGCCACATGTGTTGATTGTGTTTATGGCATTTAAAAGTATACGTTAAATGTTCCTCTTAACTATGTGTAACACGATCAACTCAAGACGTATTTATGCAACATTATTAAAAACTCACATTCCAGTCTCTTAGTGCCATTGGACTAATTGTACTGAGTCATTTGTTCCTCTCTCTAATCTGATGGCAGACAATCATTTTTTAAAAATAATATAAAATCTTTATACTCAAGAAACTAACAAGGGTTGAGGCACAATGACATGGCATGCTTGCCAAAAGAATATAAGTGCTATAAAAGATCAGAGCATTGCTGCCTTTTGCAAAATATCTTCAAATTTCATTTTTATGGTGATATAATTACTGATTGAGTGATTAGTGATGGTCATACTTAAATAAATTAATACACCTCTGTATGCATTTTGATTTGTGCAGTGTTTTGTTTTTTTTTTTTTAAAGCTTTTAAAAGTACATTTTGAAATCTCCCTCCCACTTGCATCATTTTGTCTTCCTAATTTCTACTTGAAACTAAGGGCCCACTGAAAAGATAAGGAATCCAAAAGTAAGCTCTCATCAAAAGTTGGTGGAAGAGTCCTTCTAGAACTTGAATCCCCTGACTTTTCCACACTCACTCTTCCTAGGCAGTATGGTAATTTCCCATTTAGCAAAAAATATACTGTGTGGGAAGCATCACATCGTCTGGTGTTTTTGAAGCTCCAGCAAAATGAGTCACTGCACCATCATAGGAAAAACCTTGAAATCTTTCACTTTAGGACTAAGAGTAAAGCCTCATTATGTAACTTTAAACCCTCCAAGAGAGGTGGTGAGTAAATCCCAGATAATAGAATTAAAATGGGTAAAATAATATTCATGATGATGATAGAACAAAAGCAATGCAAAAGAGAATTCTAGATAATTGATTCTTATGCCACAATGACCACACCATCAGGTACTGTGTCAAGTTGGTAGTTAGTTTGTGTCATATTTTGAACAAAAGAAAAATAACTGTTTTCAGTTTTAGGACTACACACCATGACAGTTCCCCAAAGTAGACACTGATTGACTAAAGTAAAAAAAAAAAAAAATTCACCATTCTCTTACATTCCCTTACATAAATGTTTTTGTCCCTTTTAATAGCTTTCAAAAAAAAAATGACAAAATGAAAATCTTGAAAATTAAATCCTGGGCCCTCCCAGGTGGCAAAAAGGGTTAAAGCAAAGCACTACAAAGATAAAGGCCCTTCAGCACGAGTTTGTTTGATCCTCGGCCAGGGAGGTGATCCACATGGCATGGCAGACCTCTCCTGACCCACTCGCTGTTCCCCTCAGTAGTGTACTTAAGTCTGCCTGTCTGATCCCCACTCTGTCTCTGGTGAGAGGATGGTGAGTCCTCTTAGCACCCCTGCACCTCTGGCCCACATACAGTACCCCAGTTCTTTATACTTAAATAAATCTAAAAAAAAATTCCATAATTTCCTGGGATTCCACACATAAAGAACTCCTGGTTTTTCAGGATACCTGATAAATAATATATCTTTTCCTCACTTCTAAGCTAGACTGAGGAGTATGGAAGGAATCCACAATAGTACCCATGTTATCTATAAGGCTTAGTTAGAAGACGTGGCTACTTGTATGGGTTCCTACTACTGTACCCAGAATTACAATTATTCACACATTTGTGAAACTAACTGAACAGCCAGGTACATCCCTGAGGGACACCATGCATCATCACACTTAACATCACACAAATGTTAAAGCATGTTCGATGCCATCAGAAAAATGCAGGGGATCAACAACAAAATTATTCTCACTCTACTTCCTGGGTCCCAAATGTTCTACTGGAGTGACACTCCTTCCACATAGGAAACTTTATGAATTCCATCCCCATGCTTGTTGCTTTTAACTCAAACCTGCTTGAACAAATGCAGTCTTAAAAGTATATTTCCAGATACGAGTTTATTCTATAGTTCAAGCAAATGGTAGCTAATTAATGTTTAATTATTTGTAGATCTTGTTAAAATGACCAGGTTCTGCATTTCTGGAAATCTGTGCTCCATGGTGAAGTATGTAGTAGAGAGTCATAAGTCTGCAGATCCCCACTCCTTGCTTTCAAGACTGAATCATTTACTTCTCCAGCTGCCAAGGATGATGGTGGTCACATCCCCCTGGATGTGACATTCCCTTCCCTGGGTGTGAAAGTCACCCCCCCCTCTGCTCCATTTGAGACAATTCTAAAGGCCCATACTTCTGAGAGCCCCCCCAGGGGGTGGGAGGAGGCTGGCTGAGAGCCACCAGCCCTTCCCTCTCCTCTCTTGACCCTGGGAATATCTCTGCCTCACAAAACTCCTGGCATGTTTCCTGGAGAATGTGATCTGCCATAACATATATCAACAGGTAACACATTTCACGTGAATTTACTTCTGCATGTATTTACTGCATAAAAAATAAAATAATGCTGGTTTCTGCCCACCAAAATAAACTGAGCATTCAACTAAAAGCCAGACTAAAAATACAACCTGGGTTCTGATGAAAATTATTTGATAATAAAGACATAGCTAGAATCGCCCAATCCAGCAGGACATCTTTTCAGAGGCACTTGGCATTGCAGCTTCTGGGTTCATTTGAGGAATGACATCCTGACTATCAAGGTTCCTGCTTGGAAAAGCACATAGGTAGCACTGCTCTCCTTTGATGGATTCTTTGATGGGTTTCTGATCATGTGTGTGTTTCAAATGCAACTTATAAAGTGATCTTTGCTTTTCTCTAGGAAAGAAAATTGCTGCAGCACTAAAAGATATAGTTGAGCTTGATATTAGTCATAAATTACCAGCAGTTCTTATGGAAAATTATTGTTATTTTAAAAGTAAGCTATGTTTTTGTTTGGATCTCACACACAGGCCCAGGCCTCCCCATTTCCACCCTTCACGACGGCCGCACCGATCAAGGTACTTTCTCTTGTATGCTGTTGCCTTGGAAAAAGAAATTGTGAACTCCTACTGACAGCACATTAAAGGAATCAAGACAGTATCCCTAAACAAGGGAACTGTGGTGGAATCCTTTTTTCTTAGAGCTTGTAATTATTTGCTGTAACCTGGCATGATGCAGATGGGATAATAACGCGAGGGATTCCTTCTTTCTTCCCCAATCAGCCTTATAAAAAGCACAGACGATTTGAACTGGAAGGAAACTCAGGGTATTTAGCTCAACTCTCTCCCAAATAGGAATGTCTATTTTTTAGTAACATCCAAAAGCTGAAGAAAAATTCCAGACACACCTCCAATTCAAAGCAAAGGGTAACCCTCACGCTAGTTCCTTTGTTTTAACAGCTACATCACAGGACTGCCATGTATGAATGCCTGGAAATTAGGAGACTCTTTCTATTTCCAGTTGCTACCAAGAGCGTCTTCCTTGATCCTGTATTTGTGATATTAGTTCAAAATAGTTCACAGGTCAAAGATAACCATTTTTGCTCTCAACAGTTATCCAAGTGGATAATTGCTCTGACCCACTTCCTGTGGTTCTCCATTACCTTTTGATTCACTATTAGACAACATTATGGAGTTGAAGTTGATGGAGACTGGGGAGAATAAGGAACTTAGCACTCATGCCTGTGATGGCTCCTGGACAGCTTTGGTGACAAGTCAGGACACTGCTTTGGGATTAGTTTGACTGCCAGTTTAATGGTCCAACTGTAGGTGAAAATAACATAATGGAGTTAAGCAGTCATTTCAGGAGCTGGGGACAGGAGAGATATTACAATAATGGGACTGTGAAGTTAGCACCATTTGGAAGTGTTGCTTTTTTTTTTAAACATTGTATCTAATAATGAGATAGTTTTAAGGATAATGTTGTACCTGTCCTTTTGGTTTACTTCAACCTTCAGTGAGCAAAATTTTAAAACATGACTCCTTTCAAATTTGCAAGTTTTTATTTTGATGGAAATCATCACATACAATGTTAATTTTATCATTACTGCAAATAAAGGTGAAATTTCCTTTTTCCAAATTTTTACTTACTATTATATATATTCCTATCAGGAACCAATTTCAGTACTGCTTCATTACTTTACCTAATATTTACAAAAATAGTTCCATGTCTTTGCACTCTCATGTACATGATATGCATTTGTATGCTACCTTATAAGATGCAAGTTTTTCAGAAAGCCAATCTGTAATTATAAATTTGCCCAATGATAAAATTCTCCAGAGTCAAATCCAGCAGTTCTTAGGATGGGTTAGGGAATATGTATATTTAACATAGATACTATAAATTTAACCTAGATAAGTTTGGGAGTTGCTTTTTAGACCAAATATTGCCTTTTGCTTATTTGTAGCTTTTCCACCCATTTTTCATTATATTTGCTGCCAGTAATCTTCACTCAACAAGTGTTTCTTGAATACCTACCCCTGTAGCCAGATGCTGTGCTGAGTACTAGATTGTTTAAATGAAGAGGTGCTGCGGTAGACGTGATCTGTGTTGATGAATGGAGATGCGAACATATCCTTGAGTGGTTACAATACAGTAGAGAAAAGTTTTACAATAGAGACACAGGGCATGAAAGCTCAGAGGCAGGCACTTGTCTGGTTTGTGGTTAGGAAAAATTTCCTGTATTCATGGCTATAACATGCTGGAGACTCATAAATATGAAGGGGGCACTGGTGTTGCTGCATATGTTTCATCAAGCAGACTGATACAGATGCTTTTCACTGAAAGACAGGATTCACTGGGGAAAAAATGTTCTTGAGGAAATTATGATTTTTTTTTTTTGAATGTTGAGTCTGGGGTACTGATGAGATGTCCAAGCGAAGCTGTGGTGATGTTTCGGATCTGGGTGTTAGAGAATGAGTTTAGGCTGAGGATGATATTCTAAAAGAAATTTGCTTTTGTTGTGCTTGTTGTTGCTGTCATTCAGGTTTTTTATTTTACTGATATGCATATTATTTAATTGAAGTTATATTGTGTTATATCATTATATAAGCTTCAGGGATGCATATTTGTAAGTCAACATGTGTACCTATTGCTTTAACTTCTTTGCTAAAACCCAATTCTATCCTTTACCACACACCGTCCCCTTTTTCCTGACTTACCTATGTCCCCTTCTGTTCTGGGCACCTCTATCTGCTTGTTAATCCAAAAGTTCATCTGCTTAATTGTTCTCCCTATGTCCCACAGGTGAGTGAAATATTGTGTTGCATGTCTTGGAATGCACGGGAGGGGATCAGCTGACACAGTGGGAAAGTGAGGGTGGTGGGAGCAATAATGGAAGTGTGAATCTGGAATAAAACATCAACATCAGAAATGGAAGGAGAAAAATATGTCCATACAGGAGACTGAGGAATTTTGAGAGTACAGTGTCAGGGAAACAGGAGAGGTGAGGATATCAAAAAACCTGTGTCAACTGCTGAGGAAAGTAAAGCAAGCCCTGCTCCAAGTCAATGGGTCAAGAGGGAAATTCACATTATCTTGGAGCAGTTTCAATGGAGCAGTGAAAGCAGAAGCCAGACTGAGGAAAAAAGATGGGATTTTCAAAGGACTGATTGGCTAGAGGAAGAAAAAAGTGGAAAAGTAGTGAAAATATTGATTGGTTTCATTTTAAAATTATTTTTATTTGCAATCAGTATCTGTTTTAGGAGTATAGGTTACTTTTGAGGGGTTGTTTTGCTTTTGAAAGATGATAAACTTTAGCAGGTGGTTTAATAGTGATAGATGATATTAGACCAAAAGCAATTGTAGCCCTAAAAGCAGTCCTGGAGAAGTTGGGGAAAAGTGGAGTTCACAGCCAGGTGAGAGAAATAATTGCTTATATTATAATGAGACAGAATGAAGAAACTCCTGGTGCAGTCACATAAATACTTGTAAACATTGCAGTAAACAGTGAAATGACAGTGAGGTAAAGTCATTTGAAAATAACAAATAGTACTTGAGCCAGATGGTAAGGAAACCCACAAGAGTTGGCACTGGACATCAAAGGCCCAGTTGAGGCTTAAAATGCTTCGGTTGCAACGTGTACTCATCAAAATGACCCAAATGATTGGATAAAAACAACTGTCAGCTTTGTTACATATTCATCAGTGATTATATTAATGAAAAATATGATGTGTTGTTTAAACAAAATCTTAACATATGATCCATCATTTATACCATTTGATTGCTTCATAATAGAGCCCACCTTATAGAAAGAGCACGTAGTGCACGTTACTAGGACTGAGTATGCTGGGTTCTGTGTGGACAGTGTAGGTAGAAGCAGGCAGAGGGCACCTGTTGCCAGGTTACAGACTTTTGATGCAAAGGCCCATAGCCCATAGAGAAGCCCAATTGCCACCTCTAACCTCTCCTCGCAGCCCTCTGAAATTCCACTTTACAAAATGGTGTGGGAAATGGCCCACTTTCCAGCCACAAAAATGCAGCCCTACACTACAGAGTCATTAAAATTAAATCTGGCATTTTCAGTACATTATGAATCAAAAATGTTCCATAGCTAGAAACAGAATGGAGGAGTCAAACCAACCAGGCACACAAGCAACACCTATGTTTAGCTCCACTTTTCAGTGCCTGTTGGCAAGATGATACAGATATTAAGAAATAAATAATTGATGCATCCGCTCTGTGTGCTCACTCCACGCAGGATTCCCCTGGCCCTGGCAGCACAATCCACAGGAGGACAATGAAGAGCTGGCTCATTGTTCTAAGAATTATGTGTTGGTTTTCTTTTTTCTTTTTTTTTTTTTTCTTTCTTTCTTTTTTGGTTTTAGGATACCACAAGTGTCTTTCTGCCAATGGATTATCCAAAGTTAAAATGAAATTTATTATGTATCTTATACAACTCATACCAAAACATCTATATTTGTTCTAAGATTAAATATAACATGTTGGAGCAAAATGCCATGAGTATATGAAAACTGAGAGTTATAAGCAAAGTGGTTTGGCAAACTTAGCTTAGTTATAAGTACTCCTCCAGCTCCCTATCTTCAAGGACAACTTTTTAAAAAAGGCACAAAACAAGAAGTCCACAGGATGTCTTTTGTAGAAATCACCATAACTCAGAAGTCACCTTAGCCCTCTTAAAACATAAAGCTATGCACTCCACATAGTATATGAAAGTCTGCCTTTTCCCTGGAAGATGCCTCATGTCAATACCCATTCAATAAGAAGGGTACAAAAAAACCTTCTACTGCCAAGAACCCATTTGTATATATCTCCAGTCTGTAGTATCACAGAATCAATGGATTTGTCAGATTCAAAGATTAAAGTGCAAAATATAATTGAACTCAACTATAAACAGCAGTATTTCAGATCTTTAAAAGAGAAAGACAGAAAGAAAGCATCGTGTGTAGATACTATTGTTTTACTGTGATAAATGAAAGAAAATGGGGACAGTAGTAAGTTACCAAAAAGGACTCTCCTAAATTTATCAAGTATAACAGAAAAGGTTAAGAAGCAAATTTGTATAAAAATCACAGAAACAATATGTCACTTCTCAGTTGGAAAATTTATAAGGTTTGGACTATATAATTAATTATTCTAAATTTGAGGTTTCAACAAATATGGGTTTTGCTTCTCCTTTTTTTTTTTTTTTTTTTTAGTAAAGAGATGTCATTTACTCTGTCGGGACATAGCTTTGTATTAAAAAAAAAAACAAAGTGATAGCTGGGGAAATTGTGATTGAGTAGACAGTGTTACTTGAGTGATTCACCTCTAAATGTGTTTCAGTCCCTTAGAATAAGTTGAGGAGAAAATGGTGTTCTTCATAAGGTCATACCTCCTTTAAAAGCTGGATTGAAAATGTGCTTGTCAATATGAATGCCTTAATTATTACACAGTTGCAGTTCTTCAAGCCCATGGAATTTTAAGGAAGGAATTTTCTTATGGAAATGCTATTAATTCAAAATGAACATTTCATTTTTTTAAGAAATTAAAATCCTGGAGGAAAACAAAGAATTGGAAAATGCTTTGAAAAATATCCAGCTGCCTAAAGAGGAAATTCATAAACTTGAAGTGGATGAAATTAGTAAGCTCTTTATAAGTCTTCTCATTTATAGATATGAAACTGAACACTTATCTTACTTTTAGAGGGTAAGTGGTATAATCTAAGTTTTATAAAATGACAGAATCATTAAAATAATTTCATGAATATCTTTACTATGTTTATGAATGGGTTAAACCTGTACTTTCCATAGTTCTTTTTCAACCCTGACATTTTTTTTTTAAAAAAAGAACATACCTAATTTTAATTTTGGAATGCATGTTTCTAGGACAAATAACAATAGTTCTAGTCATTTGTAAACTAGACAAAATGTGTAACAAAAATCAATTTAAATATTCTCAATTGCTAATAATTTACCAGTTATGGATTTATTTTGTGGTGTATGTTCTATGAGTATTGTAGAATGAGAATTTCCTCCTTTTTTTTTTTAAGCTTTATGGTACAAGATGATTCTTCCTCCACAATTTGACAGATCAAAGAAGTATCCCTTGCTAATTCAAGTGTATGTAATATTTTTCTTTGGTGTAAAAACTATTTACTGAAAATATGTTGGATTAAATACACATTTATGAGATAGAATGAACCATTCTCCTTGGTAACAGTTCCTATTGATGCTGTTTTTATATATTCCTCAACTAATCAGAGTAAATAAAATATGGCTTTTTAAAATAGATTGAGGAAGTTTTGAGGTTTTAGATGGACTTGCTTGCATTTACTGTGTTGAATTTCATTTATATGGCAAATTGCCTAATGTGTCAAAATACCTTTGAAATAGAGAAATTACAGCCAAAAAAATATTGTAAATCATCTTAACATCTTATGTAATTGAGTTAGAAATGAAATAAGGGAATGGAATACATTTAGTGGAATCACACCCAAAAATCAGTGCTGACCTACACACAATTTGCTTAAAACACCATGCATTTTTTTTAGTATATCTTATGCCTGCTTTTAGCAAGTGGCAGGTGGCAGAAATGACGAAAAACCCACACATATTCCTTGAAATGCCAACCCTAGATGTATCCGTTTTGGGGAATAGGAGAGATTGTGTCCCAAAACAACTTCCTTGTAGCAAACCTCTGGGAAAAGCCTGGTCCGTTCTTGATTGTGAGCCAGTTTTAATGCCATTGTTATTGAAATATTATCACTCAATGTACTGTGAAACAGGAAGGCAATTCCTGGCCATGATAAGAAGTTGGGTTTTACAAAGGAATCAGATCCTTCTTTTTTCATTTTGTTTTAGGTATGGTGGTCCCTGCAGCCAGAGTGTAAGATCTGTGTTCGCTATTAGTTGGATCTCTTACCTTGCAAGTAAGGAAGGGGTGGTCGTGGCCTTGGTGGATGGCCGAGGAACAGCTTTCCAAGGTGACAAGCTCCTCTATGCAGTATATCGAAAGCTCGGTGTGTATGAAGTTGACGACCAGATCACAGCTGTCAGGTGAGTGCCTTCTCAGTCAAAAACAGGTGACATCAGCAAAGGTCACACAATCACTATTTTGTTTCTCGATTTTTAATGACTTCAGTTGTTTTGTCTCTTTTCCTAACTTGGTCTATAACTATCATTAATCTTAAAGGGGTATTTTTATCCAAATATAAAAAAAATAATGCATGGAAGAAAGCTAATAAATGTATAGAAAATTATTGATAGTGATAAATGATTGATAGTGATAAATGACAAATATCCTCTTTTGATAGGATATTTTAATATTATTTCATTTATGGATTTAGTTTAAGATTTAGTTTATTTATTATATATACAAGAAGTGGGGGGAAGGCCAGAGGTGAGGGTGGTGAGGATTCACTAAAGACAGAGTGGGGAACAGAACAACAGATCTACATAAATACACTGCTGAGAGAAACAGCAGGCGAGACAGGAGAGGGCTACTTGGCCATATGGGCTAACACCCTGGCTGGGGATGGAACTCATGCTGCAGTCACTGCCAAAAGCTGGATTGCACTGAGACTTTAAATTCTCAAGAGAGGCCTTTCTTTAATTTATTAATGCTGCTCACAACCAAGCAGTAAAATATGCAAAGTTACTAGTTTGCAGGACACGAAACACCTGAATTTGCTCAAGCATTCCGAAGCCTACCACGTAGATTTAGAAAGGGCACAGGTACTTTTTTTTTTTTTTTTAAAGATTTATTTATTTATTCATACAGAACTGGGGTACAGGCCAGAGGCTCAGGGACGGTGAGAGGCTTCACCAGAGACAGAGTGGGGAGCAGAACAGGCAGATTGACGAAGTACACTGCTGAGGGGAGCAGCGGGCGGGTCAGGAGAGGTCTGGCTCGCCATGTGGTCTCCTCCGGGGCAGGCGGCAGGCGGGAATCGAACTCATGCGGAAGTGGCTTCAGATTCTCAGTGCTGTGCTTTAACCCGCTGCGCCACCAGGGAGGGCCAGTACTTTGTTTTTAAGAAGCTAGTAATTCAATTGTGATTTAACTAGCTATTGAGTTTGACTATGGCAGCGTAAAAGTGTTTGCCTATCATCACTTGACATAAAAAAAATCACTTTCCATAACAGAAATGACATTATGAAATATTTAAAGGAAAGATTCATAATCTGATTTCTGCCCAACTATATTCTTAACCACAATCTATGACTCCATCATCTTATTTTGAAACAAAAAGCATACAGTCAACCAGTGTGTTGCTTTTTTGGGAAATACATACAAGGTTCTTCTGGTTATTTCTTCATAGTTGTTGAGTTTCCATATTCATAGTATAAGTTAGTAAAAGTGGAGAAACCTAAAAGCCAACACAGATTAGTGTACTCAGTCAAGGGCAGATATACACACAATAACCAAAGAATCTAACAGACTTCAGCAGCAAGGAGCAATTTAGAAATTCAGTATTAGATTTCTTTTATCTCCACAATGTCACTAATAGTTATTGAGTTCAGTAATACAACATAGACTGTATTAAACAGCAAGGAGTCAGGCCCAGATAATTTTCTGTATTTTTGTCTCTAATCAAAGCAGAAGAATTTTGACTCACAAGTAATTACTTTTAAAAATAGAAAAGTAATCAAAACCCACGTTTCCCATATCTTGCACCCTGTGAGCAGTAATATGCACATTATTATACAAAATATTCTATTAGAACAGTTTATTTCAATAAAACCTGAAAAATTAGTGAGTTATTAAATAACACTCAATATTATTAAATAACACTCAACATAACACTCAATGTTCACACTACTGTCTAAGAGGATTAACTTTGATTTCTGATCAGATTTTTGGCCTTTCCACTATAAACTTGTTTAGAAGAGTCTTCTGCTTGACAAAGACATAACAGACAACTCAAAGAAAATTTCAATGGAGAGAGCAATTTTTTATATAAAGAATGCAGTGTGCCTTAATGGAAATATTAGCACAAATATCAGCATCACAGACTTTAATTCCTTAAGGACTTTTTTTGTCACTGTGGGTCACATCTATTTGTATTTAAACCATGCAATAAACAGTAAAGACAGTATGCTGGGACTATATCAAAAGACAGAGATGGGAATCATGCCTCATTTGTAATTCAGTCAGATTGCTTCCAAATTTGGTAAAGTTAGACCATTGTTGCTGTGGGTTCTGGCTAGCCAACAACTTCACTGTGATCACCAGCTACTCATTACAACCAATAAATACAAAACATCTCATTATGTACTTATGGATTTTACACCATCAAGTATGCAGCATTCAAGTATAAGAGTACCTTGAAAAGAAGAGCAGATAACTTCTAATGTGTTCCTTAGATGATGGATAATTAAACCTGAAACCCATGTATAGGCCTTAATGCAAACTACTGTTGCTCACATTCAATATATATAGGACACAAAGCCACAAATACTAAATGTCTTTGACATTTAGGTTTGTAGATAGATCCAGAGGTGGTAGCTGGCTATCTTTACCTTCTTTGAGTCATTTTTAGGATGGAATCTGAAGACTTCCTTCTGTAAAGCAGGATTATGTTCACTCATTTACAGATCTATACATTGCAATATTCTCTGTATAAAATTATACAACGTATGCTTCTATTTTCAATACACTAACAATCCTTATAAGTGGATAAGTCACCTGCCCTGTGAAGGGACAGCATTGCTATTAAATGGAACCTTCAGTATACACCCTATGGACATGCCCAGTAGGCACAAGGAGCCACTTGTGACCCATGCAAAGACTCTAAGGTGATGATGCCAGTTGGAACTGCCCTTGTCTTTGTTTGAAACCATTATTCTGCAAACTGAAAGGAAAGCCTTGGAACCTGATGTTTTGAGAAAAAAAAAACGCTAAATAGGATAGATGTATAATATTAGTCCTGGGACTAATTCAATAACATGCCTCCCTCAGAAGTGTTTTAGTCCTTAGACAGTAAGTGTCTGACCTGAGGAAATCTCTCTGTGGTAGCCCTCCAATTTCACTTCAGAATGAAATTGGTTCCTTTGAATCTCATGAAATACAATCCAGCTAAATTTTCTATATAACAAAATAAAATCTTATAAACATATTTGGAAATGAAAGTAAATGCTAGATAGGGGTCAATAAAGAGATTCAAACAAAGGAAAGCAGGAAAGAGAAATGTCTGTAAGAGATCTTGGCAAGGACAAAAGCATAAGAAAAACTGAGATCTGCTTTCTTCAGTCTTCTTTGCAAAAGGTCATATGTGAGACCTATAAAAGTTTAGTAGTTATGGGGCCAACTTTGCTTATTTGGGGTATATTCAGCCTTTTTTGACAATTTTGCAATTTATAACTGAGCTGATAAGAAAAAAATTGAATTAGAAAAAAAAATGTCATGCCATATTATTAGATAGTATCAATAAGAACATTTCCAAAATAAGAAACTAACTGATCACTTGGATGCTAAACTGACCTTTGGCCTAGTACCATTTTTATGAGAAAGACTGTTAAATTCATAGCAGTCTCCAAAATTAAAAAAACACACTTTTCCTTTGTTTCTAACATTTTGTTAATTTATCCAAATCATCAACAGTGTTTCTGTATATCAACCTTTTGAAAGCACTTCCTAATTTAGAGATAAATTTTATACAGCCATGTTGGACTCAAAGAGCTTCTGGATTACCTAGCTAACCTTTAACCTAGCCCAGACCACATTAAGTGTTAATGTTTCATTTTCATGTTAATTATCCCACTATCATTTCCTATAAATGTCATCCTTTCAGAATAAACCTAGGAATGGAGTTGTTAAGAATTTCCTGTTCCAATGTATCACCTGTTATTTGCTTTTACCCCAGATGTAATTGCGAGCTTGTAGGAGATCATAAAATCACGATTGATTTTTATGGCTCAGAACTGTCTTCAAACCCTAGTGACAAGATTTATTTTTTACAAGGGAAGTGAAGTTTCTCTTCTTTATTTGGTTTTGAAAGTTTATGGAAGAATTGCCAAAGTGCCACAGTTTGCTACACATTTTCTCTGCTTTAGCCTGAGCAACATCCGCTCAGGTAGCAAATTCCCCTTACTACTGCATTTCTTCCCTGTAGACTCCTTGGTGTCCCTCAGAATCAGTGTCGGGTAAGCTGTGACTGACGGGGCTCCTTCCCATCTGTTTGTCTCGGGCACTTGCCCAACTACTGTGCATCTGAAACGTGCATGTTGAATCGATGCAATGAGCAAAATGATTGCTGTGAAAATCCTTTTAAGGAACACCACTATTTAACTAATAAAGACCACTCTGTCCTACTTCCAGAAAATGAGAAAGGGCGGTCATGGAGCTACAGGAAATCAAGCACACTGTAATTTTTCTGGGGCCATGTGTGTTTCGCCTTTGGCCTCCCTTCACTTACCCACCTCTGTTGCATCCAGACCTCTGCAGCCTCATCCAGTTGCTTCTTTGTATCACAGCTTCTGTTTTCTGAGTTTCCTAAGTTCAATCAAACCACTTTCAAAAGAAGTCCAGTTGCTCTAGAACACCAGCTCTCTAGGGCATGTTGTCTAAGTTAGCCAGAAAAACACGTACTAAGTCTACAAGTCACATTTGCTGTGGTTGTCCATGGTTTTTTAGGTGTTGATCTTCAGCAGGAAGGTCTAAATCTTAAGGATTCACTTTCAGCAGTTTCCTGTTGGGGGCTCTTCTGTTATGAAGTTTGAATCATTTCCATATCCTACATGTTACATACAATTGTCCATACTATAATAAATTGAGGGCGCCTAGTATGAAATGAGAGAAGAAATATAAGATATTCCTCAAATATGATGAAAAATGAGAGGGTGGTTAACATTAACCTTCAAACAAGGTCTAAGAAATAAACAAAACTTAAAACAGCAACAACAAACTTCTTTCCATAGCTGGGGTTTTAGAAATTTGGTCATAGCTGTGGTGGTTTTACTTCTTGTGTTATACCAGTCTATCTTGTGACCTCTCTAAGTCCTGAGTAACTCCTCCAAAACAGTTAGGCTACCAGGCCTTGCAGCCTCAGGAGTTCTGCTCAAAAGATATGCAGTAGTGTAGAGGATTCTTTGATCCTTGCAGCAAGAAGATAAAATTCTTTTAATTATTTGTAAGTGCAGCCTTATTATGCATGTGTTTAAACAAAGAAAATGTAGCGTTTCTATTAAATCTTTGGATTAAATATGCTTGTGTAATGAACTAAATGTCATGTGTACACACTTAAAATTCTAAAAATTTGTTTCTTTTACTTTAGAAAATTCATAGAAATGGGTTTCATTGATGAAAAAAGAATAGCCATATGGGGCTGGGTGAGTTGTTTTATATGTTTTACGCCTGTTATTCAGTTCAGCAATCATCATTTTCTAAAGTGTTCGTTTATAAGGTTTCTCATGAAATGTTAATGTTGCAACATAATTTAATCTGTCAGTGGAAACAGTCAGTTTGGATAATCTGGCTTCAAAGTGGTGGCTTTAAGTGCTTGTTCCTTTTTTTTTCAATCACTTAGTTTTTTTTCTGTATCACAAATCAACTCATAATTGACACGTTTTACTTAATTTTTGGTACTAGATTATAGTATACTGACCTGAACCATAGTCACCAGAGATTTAATTTTCTTTTTATAATTTTAAAATGTATCTTTTATTTTTCATTTCATTTTTATGAAAGTTTAAATGAAATTTGATTTTGTAGAAAATTTCACACTCTAATTCCCTACTACCTAGTCTAACCCTGTCATAGCTTGGCTATTTTGAACATTTTTTTTTTTTTGTAAAAAAGTTCTTCTGCCATGTTGAATATATATGTTTGCTCTAACTTGAGAGAAGTATTAGTATTTTAGTTGTAGGTCATGGAGGTAATTTCCTATTTTCAAAAGTTGTGCAGGATTTTCAAATGCATGTTAAAAAGAAGTGGTAGAACTTTTCAGTCATGGGCAATGAAGTCACTGGAAAGTTTAGAGAAATATTGGAAGGAATTTAGATTTTCCAATTATAAATTATGATAATTATTCTTCAAAGATTTCCCCATTTCACTTTTTGGTCTGAATTTGTACATTTGCAAGTCAATTTGCTGCCGTTGGTGCTCCGGTTGTTTTTCTTGGCTGTTTTCTCTGAGAACGGCCTGAGCATGATGGAGGGAATGAAACCCAATATTGATGGGAATCTGCAGGATTGGGCACAACGCTCAGCTCAGTGACCAGATGAAGAGCTGTTGTGAATTTGTGGAAATTTGTCGCTTCAAGCCATTTGCTTCTTCTTAAAACTATCAAATGTGAAGTATCTAAACAGAATGCATTGCAAATTGGTAGAAATAAATGTGTTGTTTTTATAGTGAAATATTTCAGATAAGACCTTTCCTACCATATATTTTTATGAAATTTCCTAGTGGAAATCCTTGAATGATTCAAATTTCAAACTGAAAACTTACATTAACATTTCTCTTAAGTATTATATTTTCCTTTTACTGCAGTCTTTGTAACATCCATAGAGTGAACAATTTTATCTAATTTCCAGAACATTCTGAATATTAGTTTGTAGAGATCTAAGTGGAATGATTTAAGGAGACCAATCATCACCCAAAAGTATGTCCATATCATCCTAAGAAGTGCTTTTATATGTGCAATTGATACTGAAAATAGTAGAATACTAGGTTCTCTTGATGTCATGCTTTCCAAGGTGACAGTGATTATGAGGTCGATCTTGTGTGCAGGGTAAGAGATGAAGAAAGAAATGAACTCCTGAAGGATATGACACTTGGCCATCTCCTCAATCAGCAGGAGGACCAAAAGATGGACAAATACCTTAATATTTTGGTTTTTTTGGGGGGGTATTCATTTTTTGGTTAAAAAACCAATCCATATTTATTAATCCATTCATCTGATCACTGAATCATTCATTCTTTCATCATGTAGTAAATTTTTATTATATCTCAACTAAGCAATAAACTAGCTTCTTTAAGGGATGAAAAAAGAGGTAAGGCATAACTCTGGTTCTCTTGGGCAGAAAACAAGAGCAAAAAGCAAATGTTCCACAATGCTTCAATTGCTGGAAAAGAGAACTCCTACAAGGAGAATCATTAATTCTGGCTGCAAGAGCTAAGGGGTGATTGAGAAATTAGCAAATAAGCCATTCCTGGCAGAGTGAAGACATGACCCCACCTGAGGTAACAGAGCTTAGTGTTCCTGAAGAATCTGAAGTGGTTAGGAACGCTTGAAATGTCAGAAGGCAAAGGTGTGGTGAAGTTGATGTAGGAAAGGATTCTGGATAGGTAGGTAGCCAGGTAACAGGCTTTTTACTTTTTATCCACAGCTCTGTGACATCTTTTTTAATTTTTCTATGTCTCTACAATCATTATAGTTCTTCTTCAAATGTAGATGCCTCTCAGGCCTTCATGCTCATTGTTCTTGACTTTCTTGAGGAAACCCAGGTGGTTTCAAAGATGACGAAGACTGCAGATCTCTATCACCAGCCCCCACTTTCTTCTGAGCTCCATATTTTAAGTACCTGCTGATTCTTTCTCCCATATGTCTCATGGAGACCTCAAATTTAACTTGCCTAAGCTAAATTAGTTATTGTCTACTTTAAATATAGCCTCATCTTTATTAAGGATCTCACAACATACCTAGTCACCAAAATCAGAGCTAATATTGTGACCCCCCCCATTTTCTGATTCTAACATTCTATTGGTGAGTAAATTCTGTCAGTTCTGCAGTCAAATGTCTTAATCTGTTGTCATCATTCCCATTTACATGGCCTTATTTTGAGTTTCTTCATATGTAATTAGACTAGATCTTCTTAAGCTTTAGTTTATATAAAGCACTTGGAGAACTTGTAAAGGAATGGCTTTCAGAAGAGTTTCTGATGTTTTGCTCAAGGCCCCAAATGGCAATGATTATATTGGCTACTCTGTCATAGGTGAATGACACCAATAGATGTGTTCAACTGGGAGCCCTACTTTCACCTCACAATTACAATTTTGCAGACCAAGTTATTGTTCCCCAACACAGTAACTATCCCCCTGCTTTTTTGATTATATATTTTCTAGGGCTATGTTGTCTTCAACCTAATGCCCAAATATATTTCTGCATGTAAAGCTCTGGGCAGACTGCCTCCAACCTGCTCTTCTACTCTCATCTCATTCCACATCTACCCATGTTTTATGAATATGACTTATGCCTATGCTTCTTTATTCCCTTAATTTTATAAATCCTGTCACCTGCACTTGCAATATACAACTTCTTCCTCCCTCCCCCATCTCTTATTTACTAGAAAATGGAAAACTCATACCTGTTCTTTAAGACCAAACTCTGATATAATTTCCTGCATGTTCCAATAAGCCTTTATATTGCTTTTATAGCGGATAGCAAATTTTCTCGCTTTATTGGTTTCTCCTGTGAGAATGTAAGCTCACCAGGGTAATGGATTTTATCTTTTTTATGTTGTTCCCTCAGATGACTAGCACAATACTTGACCATGTCACATATCAATGATGTTCTTTAAACTGAATTTTATACTAGAAATTAATATTCCCTCTTAAGTGTCTCCTTAATACTAAGAGATTTTTCAGGAGAAAAAAAGGTTCTATGGGTTAATATTTTGGCAAATCCTGAGTTGAGTTCTATCTAAAAGGACATAGGGTTCTACATAGGACTAGTGTAGAAACCTGATAAATTTTAATGGAGTTTTATCAAGAACATTTGATCCAGTGGGTACTTCTTTGAGAAGTATTCTTGAAATTGGTAGGAAGTGGTTTTGGTGTCTTAGAAATACAGTTCTGGTGGCAGATTAGAAGGCGGCCTGAGGTGAGAGAGGGGGTGGATCAAAGTGCTAGGTAAGGAATGATACTAGCAACAAATGCCAGGGGCCTGGGGTTAGGCAGTGGAGCAGGAGGGGAAGCTTATAACTCTAAGTGGTTTTTTTTTTTTTTTTTTATAGTCAAATAAGCAGCAACCTTGGGAAGTAGAGACAGGAAAGAGGAAACATTGCGAATGACCTGAGGGTTATTTAGTTATTACTTTGTTCATTGTCAGGAAGAAAATAGCTGTTACCATAAGGTGTTAGACATTTAGTGAGCTGTGAAATACACGATTTCTTACCAGGCATATTTTTTTTTAGTTAAATGGCCAATAATTTGCAAATAAAGTATTTCTCTCCATTATCCAGATTAAGAAGGGGAAAAGAGACATTTTGATTTACCCTTTCATTTTCCTGGCTCACACAAACCAAAAGTGCAATGGCTCTGTTTTTAGCTGGTTCATAAATATCTGTCATGTCCCCAACCCTATGTCCAAGTTATTACTATGACTTATCTGGCCAGTTTTGCTCCTTCGAGGACAAATGTCTGGAGATATATTTGATCATTGCCGCTGGGGAGGTGCCACTGGTATCTGGTGAACAGACTAGAGAACCACTCCCAGTGCACAGCCCAGCCCTCCACAGAAAAGAAAGAATCCATCCCCAAATGTTAACAGTATTAAGGCCACAAAAAGTCCTGGGTTTTGCAAAGAAAATTGAAGAAATTATTCTGACAACTGAAGAGCAGCAGGGGTTTTTGCCTAAATTATTAGAATAGCAACCTCATTTATGGGCTTTGCTTTGTTAAGGCCTAGCCAGGTGGTGTTGAATAAGCATTAGTTCATGATTTAATCTTAGTTCCTTTCTCTTCCAGTGACTAATTATAAGCAATTTGAATTGCTATGTGTGATCAACGATGTAAAAGTAGGACAAATGCACCTCTAATGAGATTGTATTAGACTCTGAACTCCAAGTTCCCCAGAGAGGTTACTCTAGTATAGAGAGAGAGAAGGGAAATGGCAGGGGTAGCAGGAATGGGGTTAGATGCCCACTGCTGCCACTGGCTAATTCCCCAACCACTCTCAGTTCACAGTGAGCTTCAGTATCCTCACTGTGAAAAAAGCCAGTTGTAATGTCTTTACCAAATCATTTTCAGGGTTTAATAAGTTAGTAGAAAAGTCCTACAGGCAATGTTTATCTTATTCCTGTTGTGTTCTATGTCATATTCCTAAAACTAGAGATACAATCATTAGCAAGACAGACAAAAGTCTCTACCCTTATGGATTTGGGAGTGGTTGGGCAGAAAAACTATCAACAAGATAAGTAAAATGATAGAGAAAATCAAAAGACAATTAGATGGTGTGGAGTTAGTGCTGTTTTAGTTTAGAAGGGCAGGGAAGGCTTCCTGGAGGGGAATGTTTTGTTTTGAATTGAGACTTAAATGGGGATGAGGAGAAGGATGTTCATTTCTGGGGAAAAGTTTTCCAGGTAGAAGGTGGTGGCACTTGCAGAGTCCTGAGCCAGCTCACACTTGGAAAGTTCAAAGGGCATCAGGAGAGCACAGGAGCTACTGGGTGGGAAGGACATGTAAGGAGGGAACAAGGAGATGGTTTGCATGCAATGGCAAACCCCAAAGCAGTCACACTGGCCATACAAATGATGCCAGTTATGGTTGATGCCCGTAGGTAACTACTCCCATGTGCACATAGACTTTTCCATAAGCCCCTCAAAATTCTGTGCCCTTCTAAGAATGTTTTTTAAGCTATCCTTCGTTTAAGCAAAATGGCAAAGTAACTAAGTGCAAAGGACAAAATTCTAGAATTCTCATGGCCAATCTGCTCCGTGGGTTCTTTTCTTGCAGCAGCCACCCACTCGTGCCTTGGAGCCCCACCCATGGGACAGCAGAAAAAAGTCAACTCGAATTGGTTTTTATTCCCCCTCTTTGTTTCTACTATAGGAATAGCTTTTCTAAGCTTCCTAAGAACCTCAAGTACCCCTTCATGTGCTGTGTGGCTGCATCAGTAGTTTTGTTACTAATTTTAGAGATGATTTGTATTCCATACCGAAAACATGAAAGTTTTATTTAGACACAGCATTGTCGTCTAATCACTAATAGATACAGATGAACAATTAGAAACATTAGGAACAGAAGTATTTAAAAACCTTTTTTGATATGCAGATGCTTTCAGTTTCAAATCTTGCTTCACACACTCACTTCTCTGGGGCCCAGGAAAGGAGACAGGAACCCGTATTGTTATTTACAGTGAACACATGTTTCCAATCAAACCATTAATAATGACAATTTTTCTTCAGGACTCAAACTTACTTTTTTTCTCATTTGAACCTAAAATTGAGGAGGGAAGAAAGGCCCTCTTTTTCAGTAATAGTTGTTGCTCACCTACTCTTCAAAACAAATTACTTATAATTTATACATGAAAGTTAGAACCTGAGAGAATTTTCACTTCCCAAAATGATTTTTAAGCTCAAGTGTTCCTTCTTTTTCAAAATCTTATTTTTCCTTTAGTAAAACATGCTTTCATTCTCCTCCAAGTATAATAGAAAAAAAAAAGTCCTTGGTATAACTGGAACTTTCTCTTTTATTCTGTGTTTGGTAGCCCAGGCTTTTCCATAAAATTCCCCAGAGCTGGAAAATAAAACTGTAAACTAGTTAGAGAATTCTTCCTTTAGTTGCTGAATTCACTGTTTATTTAACTTATTACCTCATTTCCTGCATTTCATGAGTGAAGAATAGACCCAGCCACTGACCACTTGTCTGTCTTTCCAGCTCCAAGGAGCTCACTTTCACTCTCTCCCTTTTACTCTCTTTAAAGACTAGCATTCAGAAGCAAAAGTGATATGATCTTTCCAAATCTGAGGAATACGATCTCCAGAAGGTTTTGGTAATAAGATCCTGGAAATAGGGCTCCTTCATGGTAGAGGTGCCCTGTCCTTTTGGATTTGCACAGGCATCCCGTGAAGGGGCAAGAATAAACACAAAGATTTGCCCTAATTGAGCACACCTGTTCGGGGAGGTCCATGTTTTGCAAGAAGGATTTCTCTCACACACGTTCACACAGACCTAATTTGTCTTCCAAGGGGAGATGTCATCTTATTTGCTCTGCTCATTTCTTCATTTTAAGAATCAAATTCCTAAGTGATATGGAAAAACTCATCTCCTTCTGCCACTGGGGTGCATTTCTTGGGGAAGAAAATTGATGATTGCTAATTCTACTCCTGACCCTGGAATTTGTAATCCCTCTTGCATTTCTTTGTCTTCCCATTAAATTTGTGAGAGGAAATGTAGGTCTTTAAAGACACTGGCGGCTTTCCTCCTTTGAGCTGCTGTGTCAGAAATTCTCAAAACAGAACATGTAGTACTACTTTTTGCACAGATTCTGGCCTGTCTTAAGCTACAAGGTTGTTATGTTTCTTATGTCTTTCCCTTACTGTTTTGTCATGAAAATAAATAAATCACAGATACAAGTTCTGCCTCACAGGACTTTTGCAAACTGTGGGAAATACCTTTCATTTACATTTTGGGAATCATCTCCTTTTTCATGCATTTACTTCAAGTAAAATTCTAATTTTACTCTAGCAAGATCCTGGTTGAGAAAAATAAACAGGAAAACAAGAAATGCTTGCAGAAATTAGCAATTATATTTGTCTCTTTAACCACACTTACCATGTTCTGACCAGTACACCAAGCATTTATAATTTTCTTTTGGTGAAATTAGTGTTATGTCTGGTGGGATTATGTCTGGTGGGTGCCAAAGATGCAGGCAGATATTTAGTCTACCTGATCCATGCCCTCAGCTCCCCCCAGCACTTATTATGAGCACATAGAGTTGTTATAACTATACTGAGTCGAGTCAATGAAATAAGCCTGGGACTGACTCCTAACATGTCTCCACAGTCTTATGGCGGATATATTTCATCTCTGGCCCTTGCGTCGGGAACAGGTCTTTTCAAATGTGGCATAGCAGTGGCTCCAGTCTCCAACTGGGAATATTACGGTATGGAAACATTTCATAAATGTTGCTGTAAAAACATTTAACACATAATTACTCTAGATTTGAGGTGGTTGAAGCATCACTAGGAAAAAGATAGTCTGTAAACAGGGTTGTTTACAATGATTCATTATAATTGTGTCCTAACAAGGAGATCTTAAACGTGAGGAAGGACTCTTCCAAAATCTATTATTGCTTATTCTCACCCAGAAACTGTGTTCCCCTCTGCTGAACCAAATATATAAAATCAGAGCAAATTCTGGCTTGCAGGCACATCGTGACAGCACGCTGACTTTTAAGAACATTTTTTGCAAAGTTAAGTCAGGTCCAAGCAATTCACCTCCACACCATTGTTTGAAGCTGCCAGCTCTGTGACTCCAGATATCAAAGAAACAAAAATAAGTTCAAGAAGTAAACCTTCTCTGTGTGTATTATTATGATTAATATCAGTGAAGGATGATTATTTGGAACTAACCCTAAAAATTATACAAAAAGTAGCTTTCATCAGAACCTCTTCCTTGTGGTAAAGTAGAAATGAGAAAATTGTGAGGTGTAGGAAATCCAGGAAAAAAAAAAGTGTGTGTATGTGTGTTTTGAGAGAGGATGATTTAGGGGGTTTATTTCCATCCTATCCATTCATGAAAACACCAGTTAAAGTAGTAGGCATGGCTGGATTTGTGATTTCTTTTAAAAATCGTAGAGGTTATTTCCTGGAGTCAGTCTCTCAAAACACCTCCCTGCCACTGAAGGGGTTTGAGTAGAGGTGAAAAAAAAATTTGAGACCAGCCCTTTCTAATGATAGATTCTCCTATTTTCATAATCTCCTCCACGACTTCTTTAATCTTATTGAGGCAAATTGCAGAGCAGAGGACTTTAGTGGAGAATTTCAATAAAGTCAAAATCTTCCTTTCCACATGGGAGAATGGGAGAGTGTGGTCACCTAACTAGGGGTTCTGTTGGTTAATGGAATGGCACATAACATATGCAAACAACATATTTTTATCTGTTGCATAGCATCTATCTACACGGAAAGATTCATGGGTCTTCCAACAAAGGATGATAATCTGGAGCACTATAAAGTAAGCACTTTCTGTTTTATTTAGGTCATTAGTGGCAAGCACTTTTCAGATGTGCTAAATAATTTAAAGCCATCATTCAGAGTTTATATTTTTACTGGGTCCTCAAGCAAATCTGGTGCTCTTTTGTTATCTGCAAAACACTTCACTAGAAAAGAATTTACTACTCCTTTGGATTATGTTCTCTCTCTCCCCAACCTCTCTTTTCCTCATCCTCCTCCCCAGCCCCAGCCCAGCCCCTACACAGCTTGAGCGGGCATCATTTATGCCTAAGGTCTCACTCATATGTAACATATGACACATAAACTTTCAGTTTTTCAAACTAAGAATCAGATGGAAGTAATGCAAATGATGATGAAAATGTGTTGCTCTGACTCTTAAATATTTATCAACCAAAGCAATACATAATTTCAGTATTGGTGCTAAGTCCATTGCACAATGATTTAGCTAGTTTTCTATTAGAACTTACAGCAACTAAAATGTTAATTTTTCCTCTTTTCCAGAATTCAACTGTGATGGCAAGAGCAGAATATTTCAGAAATGTAGACTATCTTCTCATCCACGGAACAGCAGATGGTAAGGTTTAAGCAAGACTCTTACACATAAAAATACTGAGCCAGCATCACTTTGTTTAAGAAACATTAAGCATCCTCCTATGCCTATGCTCAGGGTCAGTACCTAAAAGTCAGGGACATTTCCATAAATGAGTGTGATTACCCACTGCTGACAATGTCAAGTGCATGACTAGATAATAGTTGGTGTTCATTTCCAGGCAATACATTGTCACTCTATGCTTTCTGGTATTTAGCAGCACTTTAACTCTCTCTCTTTGTTGCAGATAATGTGCACTTTCAAAACTCAGCACAGATTGCTAAAGCACTGGTTAACGCACAAGTGGATTTCCAGGCAATGGTACAGAATTTCATTTTACACATGTTCATGGCCTTAGACCCGTAAGCCAAAAGGAGGGATCTTATTTCTATTTATTTATTTACTTATTATTTACTAAAACCTGACCAAAAATGACTAGAGTAGGCAGAACATTAGCAAATGAATTTTGGATCATACTTTAACTTGCAGAACATCAGGCAATCCACGTCCCCTCTGGGAATCCCAGCTGAGTCATAGATAATACAAAGGTGTCCACAAGATGATATGATCATCCAGTTCAAATGTCCAATAGTTCGGTGATCCAGTTTACCTAAGTGTAGCTGTATGTTTAGAGTCCCTGCAAAATCTGGGAGTCCCAAAGCATCTAGAAGATTTTGTATATGAGCAACTGCAAAATATCATCAGAGACGTCAGAGGTTCCCTGAAGCCACACAGCTCGACTTGGAGTTAGAGATTCTTCTCTTCTGTGTGTTCTCAGTGCTTGGCACATGTCTGGACTATCACAGAAGCTCATATTTTTACTGAATGAATGAATGAGCTAGCTGTGAAATCCAGGTTGCATGAAGAATGAGAAATAAAAACAAAGAAAAATAAGGCGAAAGCCAAAGCAAGGGAGACACCTTTCCCCCTCTTCAGGGAGCATAAATTCTCCCTCACTTGCTTATGCTGAACAAGAACCCAAAAAAGAAGCCTCATCTTTTAGAAGTGTGTTTTTAAAAATAATTTACAAGGGTGAGGTGAGATTTTTCTGGTTTTGTCTTTTACTGTGGCCCCAAAAGTAAACTTATAAGGATACAACTATTACATCATGACCACTAGCCCCTCTTACACAATAAAAACATTAATCTTAACAGCATCTCTCCAATAATAACATTAAAACTGTAATAACATCTTCCGGGGTTTTTTTTGGTATGAACCTATTTTTAACTCTCATAAAGGGTGTTTATGGTTATATGTTTTTTTGATTTTCTATAACAGAAAGGGATTAGATTCAGAGGCTTAAACCCTTCATAGAATGTTAGAGCCAGAAGGAGCCTTAGGGAAAATCAAATCCAACCCTGTCGATTTTTCAAATGAAACCAAGCTCCAAAGAAGCCGAGTCACAAGCCCAGTACAGCAGCTCCGGAAATCGTGCCTGACTCGCGCTCCCCTAGCGTGCTGACCGCTATGATCTCAGCCACAGAGATCTAAAGTACATGTTGGAAGAATATGAAACAGTAATGAAGGTTAAGAAAAGGTTTCCCAATCATCCTGCTCTGAATGTTTCCGTGTAAACAGTTAATTTATTCAAGTGTTCTCAGGTAAAATTTCCCAATAATACAGAATAATTATCAGGTCCTGAGAGCATGAAGTCAAAACTAAATGACTTTTCTGGCTGCAGGAATGTAAGAGTTTTTTTTCTGTTTGCCTTTCAGTGGTACTCAGACCAGAACCATGGCCTGCCCGGCCTGTCCACGAAGCATTTATACACCCACATGACCCACTTCCTGAAGCAATGTTTTTCTTTGTCTGACTAAAAACAGTGCCGTTACAGCCAGCATCACAACCTGAATTCTTTATATAAATGTCTCATTTTACTCTTTATGCTGTTCATTGTTGGTAAGACAGAAAAATGAATTTTGTTCTAAAAGCTGAAGAAAAAAATAGGAGGACTCAGCAGTTCTACCTACATAGTGCTTACATTTTCTCTGTGAAAAAGGAAAAAATGTGAGTCCTGCGGTTTGTTTGGGACGCGGCTTTTTATTGCCTGTTCATTTGAGGGAGAAGAATAAAGTCAGAAGTTAAGGGCTGTCATTGTGTCTGTGTTGGTTTAATGTTCCAGTTTCTATTGTAGAAGTGTTTGTGGTAGGCAAATGCACATGTGATTTTAGGGTAGCCATGGAAGAGAAGAACCCAGAAGCAGTTTTGGACTTTTGTAAGTAGAATGCTAGCAAATGGTTCATAGAATGCAAAGCCTTGTACAGAAATCACATCTGAGTTACATTTTGCAAAGGCTTCCTGATGCTTGCATTGCGTTGTCCTTCCAAGAAATGTTTACTAAATTTCTCCCAGAAGATTATTTCAACTTCGCCAAAAAACATTAGATAAGAATGAAGTCAGAATTTTGAATTCAGACTCCATTTAAGTCATGCTTCAAATTTAGAAATGTTTCCATTTCATATCATTTTAAAATTAATAATGGTAATTGTCTTCACCAAACTAAACAGAAAATCAGAGAAAATTGAACATCAACAGCTGGAGAAGAAAATGTTGAGATTTTTCTTGTATTTTAGTTTTATATTATAAAGCTCATTTTGAAAAGGAAAAAACCATAATCCCTCCCTCCCATCCCAAAGGCAGCGCTCTGCCAGTAAATGTGCCCATTAACTAGAAATTCATGGCAAATCGCCATCTTTGCAATTGACACAGAATTAAAAAAGATCCATACTGGGTTACCAGAAGCTAGTTTCTTGGCTGAAAAGTGGAACCATGAAGTCACAGTCTAGGGGGCAATTTGTTGATGTTAGCCAGCACTGCATTGCCCTGGGTGATTTCTGGCCATCCCTAGAATGAGTCTTCCTAGTTGCGGATAGAAGGCCCTCATGCCCTCTCACACAATCTCTAGCAGAAGAACCAATCCAAAATGGAGCACTGAATCAGGAGTGGGTCTTGATGATCATAGATCAAAGACTCCTCTAGAATTTTCAAGTATTTCTCAATCCAGCACTTACTGCTATCTCCCTAAGGCCACATAAAACTTCCTTCCCCTTAAGGCCACATAACCCACCTCACTTAGCAAGGAAGGGTTGCAGGGGACCTTGACCAGCAAGGCCGGAGATTAGGGGCCCCAGGTCCGGCATACAAAAGAGTCCGATCTTGATCGTGCAGCAACAGAGAGAGAGTTTATTGAGCTTTACGTCGGCTTATATACAGGATGAGGGTGATGCAATAGCGCAAGCCAGGAGGGGAGGAGACCAATGCGCATACAGCACGTTTGGCGGGCTGCTGATCTCGCCAGGGGCAAAAATGGGTGAGAAGAGAAAGAGGAAGGGTGTGGGCGGAAGGGTTTCTTTGGTCGTGTCTTTGTCAACCCGGATTTTTTTTTTTTTTGCAATGCTTTTTATTCCATTGCTCAACAGAACAAGCTGTCTGCCTCGGTTCCCGACAAAGGGTGTCTTGCAGCATTCAGAGAGCCTGGTTAAAACCCCCAGATTCAAGAGTGGCCACAGGACCTCCACTCCACTTCTAAGTCAATATAGATACCTGGAGAGTCAGAAAGTCAGAAAAAGCAGGTCCTACTTTCTCATTCTGTTGTCATGGAGCATCCTCTGAAGCAAGACCAAGAAATTTCCTCATAATTTTCATCTTTCATTCTTTCCAACTAGGAACATGATTAACCAGTACTTATAACCTAACATTCTATCAAGAACAATTACAAGTAATCTTGTTGTGCCACTTATTTTTAACCTTTGTGGAGAATATCAAATAATGCTAACTTTCAATAAGATGTCTCCCGTCTCAGGCCTTTATTCCCACTTCCATAGAGGAAACTTCAAAAAGATAAATCTAATTACATCATTTTCCCATATAGAAGCTTGTAGTGATTCTCTGTTGTTTGCAAATAATATTGTTTATTAATGTAAAATATTTCCATCCTCACAGAAAGTACTAGTGTGGGATGCTCTCCTAGCATAATCTTTATAGCCCCAGTTGGTGAATGGATGTGTAACTCTGTGTTCGGAACTCCAGACTATTGATGAAGCTTCCCTGACCACTTCATGTAGGATCAGCCAGGTCCTCCTCAGCATTGTCTGCATGCGTTCATTCATTCACTCATCCAAGGAACATTTATTGAGTCTGTATATCAAATATGCTGCAAGACTTTGAGGACATAATGGAGAGAGCAAGATAGCAACTTAAAGAGAATTTTTTTATTATTATAAAAGTTTATTTTTACATCATTTTTGTACATTTTTTAAAGAGAATTTATTTATTTTTGTAAAATTTTGCTATCTTTGTCTTTTGACTGGAAGATACACAGTACATAGAGTACAAAAGAGAGATACTTAATTAGAAATGCCAAACTGAAAGGAATATTTTCAAATATTTCAAATATTTTCTAAATCTTACCCTGCCTATTTGTATGAATCCAGATTGTAACAGAAACTATCCTTTATCATTTCATTCTTGCATTTGAAAGTTGGGGAGGGGGTATCCCAGCAGCCTAATTATTAATGCTTCAAGGTATCATCCTTCATATATCACAAACTTTAGATTTAGATTAAGCAAGTGTAATTTCAATGTTTTATACTGTTGGTCACTACCCAACAAAAGAAATTTATGTTATACAAGACACATGTCTATTGGTAGGCACTAACAATCTTGTAAGGGTGAGAAAAGAATTAACTACACTGCAAATTCTAATGAGATCAAGTACTCTCAGGCTGGGACTATAGGTTTTGCAAGAGGGAACCACAAATTATTAGGCCACCTAAAAGTAATCTCAAGCTATTTTTTTAGAATACTCTAAATTCTGCCCTGAGAGCTGGCCGGAACTATTTGAAAAGGTTTCAAAAATATAGTCATCTAATATTTCTTAGAGTGAATGGGAAAGAAGCAGCAAGAAAATGAGTATTTAGTAAAATTTAACACAAATGAAGAAAAATTTTTTGAGGTTAAAATCATTTTAAATCTACCTCAAAATAAATGTATGGTTTATTTCATTCAAGGAAGATTGAATACCTATGCTGTACATGGCAGTATTCTGAGTGGTGCTGGGGTTACAAAGAGGAGTATATGTGACAATTTCTTTATTTCTAGACTGTTTCAATAAAGGCGACTTAACGAATCTGATTTTCCCAACATTTGAGCATTTTTCAGAAACTGACAGATCTTTATGCAAATGTTGTTGCCAAGCTGTTTGTAATGGTGAAATTATACTTTGACAGTAACTCTTTAAAATATATTAAACCCAGCTAAGGTTTTTTTGGAAATGTTGCCAATTAAGTGACTTTAATGAGCTTCTTGATGGTAATGTAATTAAAATTCAGATGTTCTAATTGTAAAAAAAAAAAAATACAGTTCTGGGAAAGTTAACAGTAAAATAAGCAAATGTAAAATGAATTAGGGCTAATTTAAATGGTGATTATGTGGTCTTCTGAGAATATTCTACCAAAACAATGCTTTCAATTATGCTGTTTATAAAGAAGAAAGAAGGAAGCTAACATATCTTTAATTTATCCAATAAAAGCAGCTATTTGAGTTTTTTCAATAAACATAAAAAATTCTAAACACAGCAAATCATTTTCAGCTTGTGAAAGGAGAAGTGCTAAAACACTTCCTTGGCATTGTGGACAGGTACTTAGGCAAGTTGAAGTAGAATAATTTCTAATTCAGGGAGAAATAAGTGCCTGGACCTTACCAGGCTACTCGTGGGGAGAGCGATCTGGCTCGCAGCAAAAGTCTCTGGTGACCACCTGCTCCAGTTCCTGGCATCAATAACAACATGCTGGTCATAAACACTTCTTTTGACACACAGGTACTGTCTTTGGCAAGCTAGAACAGAATGATTTCCTTCCATTGGCTTCTAATTAATGCTATTACTTAACTTACTGCTTTGACAGTATATGCTTCAGCAAATACCCTTGGTACAGCATTGCATTCTTCAGTCTGTGGCTACACAGAGTCTGTGTCTTGCGAATGAGAGAGGGGTGGGTCATGACTCAGGTCATGCCACAATGGTCAGACAATTTGTCGTCTTTCTTCAGTCTTGTTTATTAGAAAGCAAGGACACAAACATCTTTGCTAGCCATTAATTATTGGGGGCAGGAATATTTTTCACTGCTACAAAGGTGAATTTTTGAAATAAAATTCTTAGTAAGACATTTAAAATTACATACATTTATTTGTATGTTAAAAAACTATCCATGCCCCCACTGGATTTCAGTTTGATATTGAAATGCTCTTTCAGGCATTTGGAGACAGAATGGAAAATTTCAAAGTCATAAAATTTGATTCTATCACTCTGGCACTGAGCTAACTTTCCAACTTAAGAAACGACAGTAAAAGGGAGGGTGCTTTAATATGTGCAGATGTTCTATATATTAACAGGAAATAATGCTGCTCTCATTTTCTTAGAAGATGAAAGTGGTATTTTGCAATATAGCAAATTCTTTTCTTCCATAGGAAATACAACATAGCTCATATGTCAATTCCTTTAAATATAATATGTTCATTATAGCTCATTTTAGAGGCAACAGATGTAATAGGTAATAGCACAGATACAAAATCAGACTACTGATTTGAATTCCAGTTTCACAACATACCAGTTAGGAGATCTTGGTCAGTTTTCCTAACTTCTTGCTGCTTCAGTTTTCTTAGACAAGAGCCCCTCTTTATCACCCATTTCTCTTCCTTGGTTCCAGTTAGCATTGTCAGCTGCATCTGAAAATTCTACCTACAATAAGATATTTTGTAATTGTTCTATTTTTTTATTAGTTATTGTCAATCTTACTGCACTTAGTTTATAAATATGACAAACTCTCTCATCAGTGTGTATACATAGAATATGGTATCAACAGGGCATTCAGTCTGGGTGCTGGGATGTGTCCCCCAAAGATAGGGGGTACTACTCTAGGTGAAGTGGGCATAATTAATAGTTTCTACCTCATGTGGGTAGAATAGTTTCTACCTCATGTGGGGATTGGAAGTTTATATAAGTTACTGTTTGTATAGTGAACTATATGTGGGATATAGTAAGTAATTTGTAGGGGATTGCTGAATACTTAAATCACCTTTTAATTATCATTTT